CCCTGTTTTGATGTCAAAAACTTGATTTAAAAAAATAATTTTTTTTTTGTGTATTTTAGGGGTCATTGGGAGTATATATTTAAAAAATGGGCTATTTATGTCCAACGAGGCCGGAGATAAAAAATCGGAGCCGACGGAGGTCACTTTTCAGAGGTTCCAAGACTCCGGAAAGAGATATCGACAATCTGACTTCATATCCTGCTCCTAACAAATTATATGAGTCTACGTTCAAAAATAGAAACGGCTGCTATGAATATTGAAAGAGATATTACAAAATGTCTTACTTGACACGGGTTCTTTTCATGATAGTTCAAAAATAATTCAAATTTCTTTCTTTTCAATACGAAAAATAGTTTGATCATAGATAACTGTTATTGAAAATGTTTTATTCCAGAATTTTTTTGCGCATTTTTAGTTTTCTCTTGGATTTGCATGAGAAAGTTTCATATACAACCTGAAGATCCATTGATAAAAGTTTGTTATTGTAGAATGATGAAAGATGAAATAGAACAGTTCTCAAGTCATGTTCCTAAATCCCCTATCAGAGAACTCCTGGAGCTTGAACCAGAAACGGCTAAGTTTGGGAAACCAGAGAAGCTTGCCGATGGCCGGAGGGTCAGGGTTTCCGTCGAAGTTTTTGGAAAGGGAACATTTAAGGTACTACTTGTTAATTTTATCTATTCTTACCCTTTACTAATAATTAATTATTTCTATCCTAAAATATGCAAGAAATATTCTTCTTCAGGAATTTTTTCTTATTTAAAAAAAAAATCAAATAAAGAGAATGAAACTTTTTGCTGAATAATCGATTGAATTATCGCTAAAGATACCTCTAATGTCCACGAAGTGGTATGTTCTATTTGTTGCATAGTACTATCTGAAACACGCTCACTATAAATAAAAACCCCCTGACTATCTGAAACAGCTATTATATTTGATACTTTGGTTTGGGTGACATTTCCTATTATTTACTTATGAATGACAATCACAAAATAAGTCATTCACACATTTGCTTCATGATAAAATTTGTATGTAATTTTATTTTTGTTTTGTGTTTAGGGAATAGGTCGGAATTACCGGATAGCAAAGTGTACAGCGGCAAAGTGTGCGCTGAAGGCACTGAGGAAAATTGAATCAAGAAACAAAAAGAAATAATCTACACTTGCCATGCTGTTATCTGTTAATGAGGTTACCGACATTGTGTACTAGCATAATTATACCAATTAAAGCACTGCCATTCATTATCACTACTATGCATTTTTGTGCCATTTTTCTACAGAAAATATAAAAATCTTGTTTTGTTACTGTTCAGATATTGTAGGCATTCATTGCCCAAGACTTTGCCGAAAAGCTTTTAAAAGAGAAAATTAAATTTAAAACATAGTTGAAAGAATTAAGTTCTGTGGCGAAACCATGTTCTCTAACTAGTTTTTTCCATTATTTTACGATTATAAGCTGTTTATGAGCCTAAGTTTCCCTGTAGTTTTGTACCGTTTTTTATTCATTGTTTCACAAAGTAGTTTTTTTTTCATAGTTCCCAGACTTTTATATGGAATTATAAAAGATATGTAAATCAGCCTTGTATACTAGAATAGTATACTAATAGTAAACTTTCTTCTAATTATTAACATATTATTGATAATCTCAACCTTTAAAATGAATTTTTATTTTTATTTTACTGGACATAAAATTGTCTGCCATGAAATTAAATATGTACTCTGTAGTATATTTTCTGGGTAAAGCTGTAATTGAATTAAAGACTAAGTACATAGTAATAGTTAAGTAAAATCTGCAAAAGAGCTTCATAAATCATGGTTGTGATTTATTTTGTAATGAATTTAGTTGTCATGAATTAGTTTCGTCTGTGATATTAATTTTATTTTCAGATAATAAGAATGGCGCCAAAAGCGGAGGAAGAATTCGAGGATTTCGAGATAGAGGGAGGGGAGCAGGGATTATCTAAAGGTAAAAATCATATTCAATCATCTTTGAAAAAAATTTATGTTTCACGAATCCGTTGTTAGTTGTTAGCTATGATCTTTACAAGCCGAGTAAACCATTTAAAAGCTTCATAAATATGCGTTTTCTCAGAGGACTCGGGAGAAGTAAAACCATAAACGAATGTGTGATTAAGATCGGGCTAAACACCCAGAGGTTGAGTAGGAATTGAAACTCTGACCCCCTACAAAGGATGCCTTTTGTAATCAAGTATGATTTGATTTAATATGCGCTTTTAAATATTTGATACTTCTCTTGTCACAAAGCGTGCACATATTTTGTTGTCCCACAGATACCTTTTATGTGGAATCATGGCAAACTGTCACATTAATTTCTGTCCTTTGACGGTTATTTTAGATTTTTACGGACAAATAGTTGACTTGTTATTATCCATTATCTAAGGTGTGTTTGCGTACAAGAGAAGCAAGAGAACCCGTCCCCTGAGTCCTAAGAAAGGAGGAAAGAAGAGAAGGAAGATTGCTCCCCTGAACCAGAATACTCAACTAAAGGATCAATTTCTAGAAAACTGTTTTGCAAGCAAAAACCAACATTGGGCCAGGTTAGTATCAAAATGGGAGTAATGTGAGGTTTAAATCTAAAGAAACTTTTGGGCCCCTCTCCCCCTCCCTCCTTTTATTTCTTTAATTGTAATTGCAAACTACTAAAACACAAATGTCTTATTTAAGGTTTAATCTAGACTGTTCTGTGATTCACACCTATAGGTTATGGCACAGATCACAAAAAATTGAAGGGTGGGGAAGGGAACGTACAAACAAATAATTTTTATTAAGAAATATCAAATAATTAAAACTAAAGTAATAAAACTTCAAAAAATAATTTATATAAGCTTATTTATCGGATCCATGTTTTTATAGAGGATGGACCGGGATCCGCACAAAAATCAAACAAATTCTAGGCACCACTGACTAGATTTTGAATGTTTTGAATTTAGGGAGAGGGTTATTGTGCACAACAGTATAGTGAAGGAGATGGAGGTCAGGGTTGACAATATTCAAAAGAATATCTTTAAAACTGTTCATGATAGTATTCTTCACTTTGTGGAAGCTTCTGAGGTAACATTTGCAGATTTTATTGGTATATGGTGTTCAATTTACAACCAGAGGCGTATACAGAGTTGGGTGCAATGGGGGCTAAGCCGGAAGCCCCCATCCTCTAGATCAGTAAAATCTGTGTTTTTTAGGTATTTTTAGAGCTAGAAAGAAAACAAATTAAGCCCCCCCCCCCCTGAATAAATTCCAGTGCCCCTGTGTTGAACTAAATATGACAATAATGGGACTACTTGAAAAGACCTTCTTTGATATTTGATAGTTATCTAATCAGAAACAGGTTGCATGATTTTTGAGCTAATTTTTACGAACAAGTTTTTTCTCCACATAACAAGAAAATGGCAAACCATGTATGTGTAAAGAATGTCAACTTTTTTAATTGAAATGATTTAAAAAGAGTGTACAAAAAATAGTTAGTTTGACACTTGGTAATTTTTATTTTCTTCGAAAAATTAATTTTTTATTGATGAATGATGATTAAATATTTTTTATAGAAGTTGACCCATTCTACAATACCTACTGCTGTGCTACTGACAGGGGTCAATATGCCCGATCATTCAAAGGTTGTCGGTCATCTAGTAGATAGGTAAATAATTTTTACCTTGTAAAATGATGTTTTAAAATTGAAAGTGAAATTTTATTAAATACTAGGCTTCTTTTTCAATTGTGAACATTTTCTCTTTGTATACATTGTAAAACTAAAACAACAAAAAATTCTTAGATTTTTTATAAAAAATTTGTGGATTTTCAAATTTTAATGAAAATCGAATTTTGTTGGAGGCAAATTTTGGAAATTTTGATAATCCATCAACCTTCCCTGGGGTTACGTTAGGTCCTACAGAATATTTTGGCCCGATCGGGTTTTCCGTTTTGGCGTTTATTGGATACCAACAGACAAACAGACAAGTAAAGTAGTATAGATAATATATAAGGTCTTCTTATAATTCTTTAATTTCTCTGGCGACCACTTGACTTTGCCATAATTTTCTTTGCAACTGGGTCTAGACCTTTGATATTTTAAGATTAGAGTATTTGATCTAACCGCATTCAAGGTTTGAAATATCAAAGGTCTTCGACATCCGGTTGCAAAGATATAAGGATAAGAAAATCATAGATTGCTGCAAAAAAACTCAATTCCTTTGTGGAGCACAGATTTGACAACTTATTGTGTAGATTGAAGAGTGTAACCCCTCACATATCCCTTCTTGGATCAGGGTTGAACCTCAAGCAGCTGGTGGTTCATCTTGTCATGGATATTGTTAATTCTCAAGGTTAGTTTAGTTTAATGGTTCATCTTGTCATGGATATTGTTAATTCTTAAGGTTAGTTTAGTTTAATGGTTCATCTTGTCATGGATATTGTTATTTCTAAAGGTTAGCTTAGTTTAATGGTTCATCTTGTAATGAATATTGTTAATTCTCAAGGTTAGTTTAGTTTAATGGTTCATCTTGTCATGGATATTTTTAACTTTTAAGGTTAGTTTAGTATAATGGTTCATCTTGACATGGATATTGTTAACTCTCAGGGTTAGTTTAGTTTAATGGTTCATCTTGACATGGATATTGTTAACTCTCAGGGTTAGTTTAGTTTAATGGTTCATCTTGACATGGATATTGTTAACTCTCAGGGTTAGTTTAGTTTAATGGTTCATCTTGTCATGGATATTGTTAACTCTCAGGGTTAGTTCCGTTTAATGTTTCATCTTGTCATGGATATTGTTAACTCTCAGGGTTAGTTTAGTTTAATGGTTCATCTTGTCATTGATATTGTTAACTCTCAAGGTTAGTTTCGTTTAATGGTTCATCTTGTCATGGATATTGTTAGTTCACAAGGTTTGTTTAGTTTAATGGTTCATCTTGTCATGGATATTGTTAACTCTCAAGGTTAGTTCCGTTTAATGGTTCATCTTGTCATGGATATTGTTAGTTCACAAGGTTTGTTTAGTTTAATGGTTCTTCTTTGCATTGATATTGTTAGTTCACAAGGTTTGTTTAGTTTAATGGTTCATCTTGTCATGGATATTGTTAACTCTCAGGGTTAGTTTAGTTTAATGGTTCATCTTGTCATGGATATTGTTAATTCACAAGGTTAGTTTAGTTTAATGGTTCATCTTGTCATGGATATTGTTAACTCTCAAGGTTAGTTTAGTTTAGGGGATACAGCTAACGGTCCTTATATTTACAAGCACAGAAATACAATATAAAATATTTTTTTTACTTGTTACTTACTTGTTACTTGTAGAATAATCTGCAGAGGGCCTCTTGGTCCATAGCGCAGATGTCGGTATAGTCCTCACGGAACAGTGTGATTCGTCTGATCTGAGCTTCAGATTTAGCCTCGCCTACACTGATCCTGACTGCATAAATAAGATTACAGATTAATTTTTTCAAGTCTTGCCTTGAAAATTTTAACTGTTCTGGCATCTTTAACGTCTGTTGGAAGATTGTTCCAGAGGTTTATAACTCTTAGCGGCCGGATTCCTAAATGAGTAGTTAAAGAATGACAAAAAATATATATTTATAAAATATCCCTTGAAGAAATGTTCAAAAGAACATAAAATTCCCGAAAAAATAATGGCCTCAAAAGATTATTACATGAATTGATCTCGAAAGTAAAAGTAAACATTTTTTTGGATATACTCTTATCATATTTTAAATGTTATATCTTAGTTGAATATTAAAGTTGGACTACAAACCTGTTCTTATACTCCTGCATCTAGGAGTCATAGACTTCTGAGCTTCGTTCATTTCTTAGAGTGGCCAGGTGAGCTTTCATAAAGAAATCTAGAATATGGATTTACAAAATATGATAAACGAGGCTTTTAAATTAATTTTAGCCTTTTTGAGTGTTGCTCTGAAAGTCGGCCATTTTAAATAATTTCTAATTTTGGCGAATTTTTCTTTTCGAATTAGCGGCTTTCCCCAAAAAATAAATCCAACTATTTTCCAGGAATTTAATCCAATTGATTCATTGATAAACCAGTTGATATATTAAAAACCCAGATGATTGATCGATAAACCAAAGGATTGATTACTAACTAGATGGTGTATTGATTATCTAGGTCATTTATTGATAAACCGGATGGTTGATTGATAAATTCGATGATGGATTAACAAACCAGATGATTGATCGAAAAACCGGATGATCGATAACTTGATGATAAACTTGATGGCTGATAAACCGATTAGTTGATTGATAAACCAGTTGATATATTGATTGATTAATAACCCGGATGATTGATTGATAAACATATTTCCCCTGATCTTCCCATGTCGCTTATAGCTGTTATTTTACAGGGTTTCAAATCACATTCTTCACATTTAAAAACCACTTTACATTTCTCTTCGTGTCGTTTTAAATTAGCTTTCCGTGTAAAAGTCTTTTTACATGTTTCGCACTCCATGACTAAAACACATGTAATCCCCTTTCTTCGATTACAATAAAAAAATAGTAAAAACCCGGTTTTTAATTGTTAACATGCGTACAATTGCAGTACCATTGTACAGTACATAACTTCGTAAGGTCACATGGTTTTTACCTGATATAAAACTTTCTCTAGGGATATGTGATCAGTAGAACAGAAACAATAGTTTGCCACCCTTCTATAAAGGGAAAACAACGAAGAAAAAAGATTAGTAAAAAAATTAACACCCTGAAGTCAAAAGTTATTTTATGGAAATTATATTTGCCTCACTAATGTTTTAGATAAATATTGTTTACTCTTTTATTTTCCTAAAATGTTTCATATTATTTATCTATGAAAGACATAGACGAAAAAAAACTTAAATAATCTGTCTTCTACATTTATAAATTGTCAGTCCACAGAGGTTTCAAGTCTCCGAGAAGAGATATCCGTAATCTGATTTCATATCCTACTCCTAGGTAATTAGAACCGGCCACCATCTATAAAAGGAAGGAAAATATAATATAAAAAGTTGATTTCTTCATTTATAATTGTTTCGAAAAAAAAGGCACTTTTCGACACCCTGTTTTTAATATAAAAAACTTGGAAATTTTTTTTTCATTCATTTTAAGGACTATTGGGAGTATTTTTTTTTTTAAATTGGCTATTTATGTCCAACGAGGCCGGAGATACAAAATTGGAGCCGACGGAGGTCTTTTTTCAGAGGTTCCAAGACTCCGGAAAGAGATATTGGTAATCTGACTTCATTTCCTGCTCCTAGGTAATTATATAACATTATTTTTAAAATTAGAACCAGCCACCATCTATAAAAGGGAGGAGAATGCCTAAAAAGGGTGATTTGTAAAAAAAATATAAACACCTCGTAGCCCACGAAAAAATTAATTTTTTGAAATTTTTTTATTCATCAATGTGTTAGATAATAATATAAATAATATTTTATCTTTTCTTTTACTCCGATATTTTTTATCAGAACTTGTCATTTTTTGCAATTTAAAAAAAATCAAAAAAAACGCAATTTTTGACACCCTGTTTTGACATCAAAAACTTTATAAAAAAAAGAATAATCTTTTTTTGTGTATTTTAGGGGTCATTGGGAGTATATATTTAAAAAATGGGCTATTAATGTCCAACGAGGCCGGAGATAAAAAATCGGAGCCGATGGAGGGTCACTTTTCAGAGGTTCCAAGACTCCGGAAAGAGATATCGACAATCTGACTTCATATCCTGCTAGTAACAAATTATATGAGTCTACATTCAAAAATAGAACCGGCTGCTATTAATATTGAAAGAGATATTACAAAATGTCTTACTTGACATGGGTTCTTTATTTTTAGACATCTTAGCCCTGAACTTAAATTTTTTTTAAATTTGTTTTATCTATCCCAATTTAATTTTCTGAATAACTAACGTCAATCAAATACTACCCATTAGCTTTCTCCCTGAGCCTGTTAGTGTTTATCAAATATATCATCTGTAGATTAGAACTTTATAAATTTAAGCATGTTCTATAGTTTAGACAACCTTAAAAATGCAAAAGATGCAAAGGTTTTAATGTAAAAAGGTCTAAAAAGGTTTAATAGCTGTAATCTACGTTTAAGAAAGGCCTTTGTCAGTTGTATGTAAAAGGCTTCTCTAGATTTGGGTAATTGTTTAGTCTTGCGTTACAAATTTGCTGACGGCTGATCGCATGGAATAATAATGAATATAGTCCATTTGTTAAATGGGATTAATAGTGTGTTATTTAAAAAAATACAGGGCTCAGAAGTCTAGAAGCACATTCAATTTTTGTTTGCAAAACTTACTGAACATACCTTGTACATTTCATTATCATTGGTATTACTATAAACCTTTCCTGAAATAAAATTAAGAAAATACTTTGTTTGTAAAAAAATGAAAAAAAATACCTTCTTCTTCTATCTCATGTGTTCTCGAGTTATGAAGCTTTAACTTGCATAGAGAAGCTCCTTTATAGTTACATAATTCACATTGATATTCACCTCCAAGGCGTTCAACATCTAAAAAAGACTTAGTTGATGTTGGCTCTGAATAAAAATTGCTATGCAACAGTATAAGGACTTTAGTCAAATCCGTTTCAAGAAATTAGTCTTATGAACTTTCAGAAACTAACTTCTAGGAATGAAAATTTTTATCAACTGAAAAAAATAAAGGTAAAATTTAACTCACCTTTTAAATTGTCTTCTTCCTTCATATTGCTGATACAGGCGTGTTCTTCCATCAGAGAAAGAGGAGGTCTTTCACCAGGAAGAGGAAATTCTCCCCCCCTTGCCATGAGAGTTTCATCTCCAACGGAAAATGCATCTTCACAGGGTAGAAGATTTCCCCCTCCAAATGGGATTCCTTCTTCTTTAATAAGAGAAATGCTATCTCCTTCTAGAGGGTATTTTATTTCCTCAACTGCAATAAAATTTTCCACTACATTCATTCCAATATCTTGCTCAGGTTTTCTTTCATCATCTAAACCAGTAGTACCAGGAGTCAGACAGTTTTCATCGACTGAAATATTTTTGAAAGCTTAGTATCTATGTTTAATTTTTTTTCGAGTAGACAAACAACCCTTTGAACTGATAAATCATGTTACCCAACAAATTTGTCCCACATTTTCTTCATAAAAATAAATTGAAAGACAATTTATTCTCCAATTTTATTACTAATTTCTAGAGCCTTTCAGGGAATGCTAATCCTGCCCAAATTTCTAACAGTTGCTGCTGCAGGAAGCCATAATATTTATGTATGTCACCAAAAAAATAGGACTAATTTATTTTTAATAAAGTTGATATCATGATGCAATTAATAATAAAATTATTCAAATATATCACCCATAAAAACTATGCACCCAAACTTTTTTTAACCCCATTCCTGTATCACTCTACAAAACATATTAATATTTTTTTTTTGTAATATAAGTAAGTATTCTCGCTCACTGGGGCAATAGTTATTAAATTTTTGTTAAAAGCTGTCATTTATTGCAATTTCCTCCTAAAATGTAATATTTTGTACATGCCGGCTAATGTTAATCTTCTCAAAGAAAGTTTTTAAAGATAAACAGAAATTCAATCTTTACCAAAAATAACGCAGTTTTGCATGTGATTAGGTTTTAAATTATCTAAAATCAGATAGATAGGTAAATAGATAGATTTAGATAATTTTAAAACGAATTGCAAACAAAACTGTTATTTCTGGTAAAAATTCTATTTATATCTTCCTTCAAAAACATTTTTAGAGAAGAATAACATCAGCCAACATGTAAAAAATATTACATTTCAGGAGAAAAACGCAAGACATTTTTCTGGAAGATATATGGGTGTGGCTAAAGAAGCGCTACGGGTGAGCGCGTTGCAGAAAGTCTATGTCTGTGAGTAAATTACGGGATGAAGGCTATACAGGTACGTCTTGCCTTCCCCCCCCTACCCTGACCAGTGTTCATGAGTTACAAATAATAAAAACAAACAAACAACCATCCATCATTCCGTAGAAGTCAAGGCTGAGACCTCGTCAAAAATAAATCATAAACTCTGTACGCTGTTCAATGTTCATAGAGTAACTTGTTCTCAACTTTTGTTTATCTTACAGTTACCTACCAATATTTACTGTTGCAGGGGTTGATTCAATATTGTCGCTAACTTGTATCCACGTGGTACCCAGCTGATTAACTGAACCAATGGATGTGATTTGTTGCCGCGCAGTGTTCAGAATTGTGTTCTGTTTTTCCTTTTCTTTAGGGAAGCATTTTAACCCTTTGATAAGAAGCACGTTATCCTCCATGGTAAACTGAAGTTCAAGAAGATCAATCATTATCTTTTTAAGCACTTTGTTTCCTTGTGATACAGGTTTAATATCCTTCAAAATTTATAGAGATTAAAATAAAGTTTATTACGCTTACAGTCCCTCTAATATTATTTGGGAACTCTTGAAACTTTTTAGCACTGTGCTATTTAGTAAAAGACATACTAAACCTTGGGTCCAAATATGAATTTCAAGATCATAACATTGCTAAAAACAAATTTGATGTATGGTTTATAACGTAATCTATATTTTCCTCAATGTATTTGTTTAATTTAAATCTCTGAATCATTAGCAAATCATTTTCCAATTCTTCAAAAGGAAGCTCCATTTTGTCTTAAAATATAAATTAATAACAAATATGTATGCACAGAAATTTTCTACCCTAATTAAGAATAAAAGCGCCCTTTCAAAATAGAGCTCAACCAACTTTGTTTACAATGCATATTGCAGCATTAGCTTTAACGCATGTCTACATCAACTGTAGCAATATCCCTCTCTATTGTTTCTTTTTATTAATTTAATTCCCTAGGTTTTGGTGCACTGCACAACCATAAAATCTTTAAAGCTTCTAAAAAGAATTTGTTTCTTTTGATACGTTAATGAAAGCATGTGACATGTTCGAGAAACGATGATAACAAATTTATAAACTCAACATGGCCAAAATGACAATTTTGGTACGTGCTACAAACTTGTCATTAATATCCTATTCAAAATTGTACAATTATCTCTAAAACTAAAAGGGTATTGTTTGGACACCTGCAAAAATAAATATTTATATAAATGTCAGAAAAACCTTTGTGTGAAATTAAACTCCTTTTAAAATAGAGCTCAAAGATTTTTTTTTAATGGTTTCCAAAACAAACTATAAAGCACTGGGATCTTAAATATTAGTCAAACATTTTTTACATTTTAATAGGATTTGTTTCTTCAAAGGTTTCTTCAGGTTTCATTTTATGAACACGTCTCTTATGTTGTCTCAGATTACTTGCAGAGGTTGATGCATGATCACACAAGTTACAAGGATATCTTATTTTCTCATGGGCACTCTCAATATGAGCTTGTAATAGCTTTGGAAGTGTTGCAGCATAATCACACAGCTCGCAAAAATATGTGGGTGGTTCATGTTGAGTAGTTACATGAAGTTTGAGAGAGTTCATATTTACTGCAACATAGTTACACTGATCACAAGGAAAGTTAACTCCGTTGTGTTTAAATTTGATGTGTTTATTCAGTGAGCTTGACCAATTTGTAACATATTCACACTTGTCACACATGAATGTTTGAACGTCATGGACTCCCCTAATGTGTGTCTTCAAAAGCTCTTTTGATTTACCAACATATTTGCACTGATCACACATAAATTGTATTCCCGAATGACAGTTTTTCATATGAATCTTTAAAGCTCTTTTATTCCTTCCCATAAAGTCACATTGATCACACTTCCCTCCACCATTTGTGTCATGTTTCACCAGTTTGTGTCTTTTGAGAGCTTTTGCATTGGATAAGACACGATCACATTCATCACAAGGTTTCGTACCTACAACAAGAGTGGGTATAAATACTAACCAGTAACAAAGTAACCATCATATCAAGCAAATCAAGTCCTAATTCCTTTTTTATATGAATAAATAGCTGCAATAGTACAAAAGAAAGGGCAACTTTTACAGACATCAAGATTTAAATCACAATTGTGGAGTGGAGATATAATATAGCCCCTGACACTAATCCATATCCTGGATTTTCAAGAAATAATGCATAAGAAGTGATTGGTTATTACGAGGCATGTTTCTAAGCTTTGAAAATTTATTTTAGACATCTCAGCCCTGAACTTTAATTTTTTTTTTTATTCGTTTTATCTATCCCAATTTAGTTTTCTGACTAACTAACGTCAGTCAAATAATACGTTGGTCTCCATTAGCTTTCACCATGAGCCTTTTAGTGTTTATCAAATATATCCTCTGTAGATTAGAACTTTATTAATTTAAACATGTTCTATAGTTTAGAAAACCTTAAAAATACAAAAGATGCAAAGGTTTTAATTTAAAAAGGTCTAAAACGGTTTAAATAGCTGTAATCTATGTTTAAGAAAGGCCTTTGTCAATTGTATGTAAAAAGGCGTCTCCAGATTTGGGTCATTGTTTAGTCTTGTGTTACAAATTTGCTGACAGCTGATTAGTGATCCCATGGAATAATAATGAATATAGTCCATTTGTTAAATGGGATTTATAGTATAAAAATACTGGGCTCAGAAGTCTAGAAGCACATTCAATTTTTGTTTGCAAAACTTTTTGAACATGCCTTGTACATTTCATTATCATTTGTTTTACTATAAACCGTTCCTGAAGTAAGAAAATACTTTATTTGTAAAAAAATAAAAAATACCTTCTTCTTCTGTCTCATGTGTTCTAGAGTTATGAAGCTTTAACTTGCATAGAGAAGCTCCTTTATAGTTACATAATTCACATTGATATCCATCTCCAAGGCGTTCAACATCTAATAAATAATTAGTTGATGTTGGCTCGTAATAAAAATTGTTATACAAAAGTTAAAGGACTTTAGTCAAATCCGTTTTAAGAAATCAGTCTTATGAACTTTCAGAAACTAACTTCTAGGAATGAAAATTTTTTAGCAACTGAAAAAAATAAAGGTAAAATTTAACTCACCTTTTAAATTGTCTTCTTCCTTCATATTGCTGATACAGGCGTGTTCTTCCATCAGAGAAAGAGGAGGTCTTTCACCAGGAAGAGGAAATTCTCCCCCCCTTGCCATGAGAGTTTCATCTCCAACGGAAAATGCATCTTCACAGGGTAGAAGATTTCCCCCTCCAAATGGGATTCCTTCTTCTTTAATAAGAGAAATGCTATCTCCTTCTAGAGGGTATTTTATTTCCTCAACTGCAATAAAATTTTCCACTACATTCATTCCAATATCTTGCTCAGGTTTTCTTTCATCATCTAAACCAAAAATCAGGATTTTTCAGGCTTTTGCAGGCATTGCTCATATTGGACCACCTCACCCATAGAAACTATGCACCCAATTTTTTAATCCCCTGCCTTAGTCACCCTACTGAACATATTAATATTTTTTTTTGTTAATATAAGTAAGTATTCTCGCTCACTGGGGCAATAGTTATTAAATTTTTGTTAAAAACTGTGATTTACTGCGATTTCCCTTCTAAAATGTAATATTTTGTACATGTCATCTAATGTTAATCTTCTCAGAGAAATTTTTGAAGGTGAAGAGAAATTCAATCTTTACCAAAAATAAAGCATTTTTGCATGCGGTTCGGTTTTAAAGTATCAAAATAAGGTAGATAGATAGATAGATATATTCAGATAATTTTACAACGAATTGCAAACCAACCTGTTTTATTTCTGGTAAAAATTCAATTTCTTTCTTCCTTCAAAAACATTTTTAGAGAAGAATAACATCAGCCAACATGTACAAAATATTATATTTTAGGGGAAAATCGAAAGAAATTTTTCTGGAAGATATATGGGTTTGGCTAAGGAAGCGTAGAGGTGAGCGCGTTGCCGAAAGTTTATGTCTGTAAGTAATTACGGGATGAAGGCTATATTGGGTACGGCTTGCCTTACTAGTGTTCATGAATTACAAATAATAGAGACAACCATCCATCATTCCGTAGAAGTCAAGGCTGAGACGTCGTCAAAAATAAATCATCAACTCTGTACACTGTTCAATGTTCATAGAGTACTATGTAACTTGTTCTCAACTTTTGTTTATCTTACAGTTACCTACCTATATTTACTGCTGCAGGGGTTGATTCAATATTGTCGCTAACTTGTATCCACGTGGTACCCAGCTGATTAACTGAACCTATAGATGTGATTTGTTGCCGCGCAGTGTTCAGAATTGTTTTCTGTTTATCCTTTTCTTTATGAAAGCATTTTAATTCTTTGATAAGAAGCAGGTTATCCTCCATGGTAAACTGAAGTTCAAGAAGATCAATCATTATCTTCTTAAGCACTTGGTTTCCTTGTGATACAGGTTTAATATCCTTCAAGATTTATACAGATTAAAATAAAGTTTATTACGCTTAAATTCCCTCTAAGATTATTTGGGAACTCTTGAAACTTTTTGGCACTATGCTATTTAGTAAAAGACATAATAAACCTTGGGTCCAAATATGAATTTCAAGATCATGACATTGCTAAAAACAAATTCTTAAGTTTAATTCATCTTTTAAGTTACTAAAAACCCCTGCTCCCTTTTGATGTAAATAGAACCAGAACGGTTTGTACATTTAATGTATGGTTAATAACGTAGTCTATATTTTCCTGAATGTATTTGTTTAATTTAAATCTCTGAATCATTAGCAAATCATTTTCTAATTCTTCAAAAGGAAGCTCCATTTTGCCTGAAAATATAAATTAATAACAAATATATATGTTAAGAAATTTTCTACTCTGATTGAGAATAAAAGCGCCCTTTCAAAATAGAGCTCATCCATTCTTCACACCAAAATACCTTGGGATCCCACTTCTAAATCACATTTGTTCAACCTTACCATTTATTTCTTCAAAGATTTCTTAAGGTTTCATTTTATGAACATGACTTTTGTGATGCTTAACCGTATCCCGCTGGAGGGGGGGGGGGAGTATTTTCCGCCCCCCCTGTGGTGTTTTCTAAATAACTTAAAAACGGCTTACATTGGAATGCTGAAAATTCTTCATTTTTTCAATAAAATAGTTATAACAAATTTTGCTAAAAAAGGTTTTTTTTTAATGCAATAACTTTTTTAGCACTTGGTTTCCTTGTGATACAGGTTTAATGTCCTACAATATTTATCGAGATTAAAGTTAAAAACATTTAAGTTTCAAACAGGGTATCACCGTGTCTGGTGGTCTGTAGGAAACAAATTAAAAAGTCTGTGGGTGATGAAGATTGCTCATGGAAAACAATAATATTTTTTCAGGGACAATTAACCAATGCGTTTAAAAAACAGAGGCATTTACAGGAATTTTTCCAGGGGCCATATTTCCCGTTTTGTCATATTAATTTCCAAATCTCTATTTTCCTGAATATATTTGTTCAACTTAGCTCTCTGATTTAAAAGCATTTCCTTTTCTAGACTTTCAAAAGGGAGCAACATTTTACACTGCAAATACCAAGTATCTACTTTTAGAGTTAACAATTCCATCTCATTTCTTAAAATAAAAGTATATAATGTTGCCTTAAATGTAAATGCTGACTAGAGTACATAGAATCCGAATTCAGATACTAAACAGGAATTGGTTACAAGTAGAATATTCAGATCTGCATCAAATTGGTATAAGTTCTAAGCATTGAATGGTGACAATTATAAATTTAAAGCAATGGCAACTAATTTATTATGTTTTCTCAAAAGTTTCTTCAGGTTTCATTTTGTGAACACGTCTCTTATGTTGTCGCAGATTACTTGCAGAGGTTGATGCATGATCACATAAATTACAGGGATATCTTATCTTCTCATGGGCACTCTCAATGTGAGCCTTTAAATGTCTTGGGATTGTTGCTGCATAATCACACTGGTTGCAAAACAGAGATGGAGGTTCATGTTGGGTTTGTTTATGAATTCTCACATTTGCCATACTTGCACAAACGTAATTACACTCGTCACATAAATATGAAACACCTTCATGTTTGAATTTAATATGCTTTTGCAAACATTGTGCAGTAGTGCCAATATATTCACACTGATCACACAAGAACTTCTTGTTACCATGCCTGGCTTGAATATGAGTCATTAAATTAGTATGGGATCTACCAACATATTCAGGCGCGCAACTAGGGGGGGGGCCAGGCCCCCCCCTAGCCTGATTAAGGGGGGGTTTCGCGCTTCGCGCGAAATATTTCCACCTAGCCCCCCCCTAACCAAATGTCTAGTTGCGCGCCTGAACATATTCACATTGATCACAGAAGTAAAGTCCAGAGTGACAGTTTTGAAGGTGTCTCTTTAATTTTCCTTCCGACTTTCAACAAAGTCACAATGCTCACATGGTTCATCAACAAAATGAAACTTTTTCCCGTGTTTCGTAAGTCTAAATTCCGTTTTTGCCACAAAATCACATTGAGTACAAGGAAACTCAAAAATCTCTGGGACTTTTCCCTGTAATTGTAATCTCATCAGACTCTCTGATTTGACTGAGTTTAAAAACTCTTGGTAATTATCAGGATGGACTGTCCTATAATGTCTCCTAATTTGTATTGCACCAATTCCTACAAAAGGGCATAATTGGCATGAAAATTTACATTTCTCGTGAACTTCCTTCATGTGTCTTTTCAAGCTTTGTCTTCCTTTACAAGATCGATTGCAAAAATTACATGAGAACTTATTTTTATTAGTATTCTGTTCCTTTCCTCTGCAGTCCTGTATGGAATTCTGATTTATTTCAGCAAACTTTCTTTTTCCTAAAAAGAGAAAAAAGGNGACCAACCAAATTAAACCCTTCTTTGAAAAATATTTGTCCATAGGTAAGATTTTCTAATCGAACTGGTTTGTTGATCGTTTGCATATGAAGATATACATGTTCCAGTATGTATAATAAAATTCAATTATTTACTTTTTCAGAAACTCATTGCCCCAGTTTCAATATTTTGTGCAGCAGTTTAAAATCAGTGAACGTGAGTAGTAACTTGAAATATCAAAATTTAACAATATATTCTGTTCTCCATTATTGCAAAATTTGAACTAAAACTAAGTTATTAAAATTTTCCTTGTACCATATCATACAAAACATCCGATTCAGGTAAAACTGAATTTTCTCTTTAAGCTAAAATTACTATAGTGTTGTGACAAACTTGAAAATTTCCTACGTAACATAGAATTCAAGCTAAAATTACTTAATTTAATACCAAAATTCTGAAAACTTTCTATGCAAGGGGGCTCTGCCCCATTTGCATCCCCCCGCCTCGTTCACTCCGTTTTACTCGGTGTTCCTACGCCTCTACTACAACACCCATCTTTGCACCCCCCTTGGTAAAATCCTGGTTACGGGCCTGGTTAATTAATCAATGGGTTTTAAGTTAAACTGAAATAAATTGCACCTAAGCTAAGATCTAAATCCTAAATGTTTTAAATCATAACTCTCCTCTATATAGTTGAAGAGCTATTGAGAAAAACTAAAACGTTTTGAATTTTAACCTGTAACAAAATAATTCTTTTTAAAACGTCTACTTCGATTACTTAAAACTTATTTATATATAGTACTAATAAATTGTTCGTTTTTAGGTCTGCGGGTGCGTTAAATGAAAAATAACCAAATCAATTTATACACAAAACATAACTTTATTAGTAGTAAAATAATGGTATTTGTATGCCCAAAGTTATTCAATATAGCCTTATACTAACTGAACACCGAAATGGCAATTGCTGTTAATGGTAAAATTATCAAGAGCAACATTTTTTTTCATACCTCTTTTTCCAAGTCTTCTTTTCTCACAAAACTCCAAAAAATTCAAATCTAGAATTATAAATAAAAAAATCATTTATTTATAGCAAACATCAATATAAAAACCAAGCATGAACCATAGAGCAAAGACTAACCAAAAGACTCCGCGGGAAAACTTTGTTTTTAGAAATAAACTTTAAACAATCAATTAACCTTGTTTTACGCGGAGTAAGAAGAAGTTTCTCTTATAACGTAAAGTAAATTTTTGCTAACCAGAAACCCGGCCAAAAATTCCAACGTTATTTTAGAAAATGATATTTACCTTTACTATCTAGTTCTTCTTCTTTCACAGTAGTAACTGTACAACTACTATGGTTTGATAGATTCTCTAAAGTACCCGAAGAAATCTCATTTCGATCCTTGGAACCAGGAAGGTTTTTGCTATCGTTGGAAGTAAATTTGGAATAAAGTGGAAGGATTTTTTCTTCTCCAGCATCTATAAGATTATCCATTTCATCGAAATCGATTTTTATTTCCAGACAGGACAGAGTTTGATCAAGCACAGGATTAATATCAGATCTTGAACTGGGTTGCTCTCCTGAAACTGCAACAAACATGATTATTGGAATACAACAAAATCACATTTAAACTATGTTTTTATACATATTTTTAAAAATATAATTGTGAATTTTTTGTTCATAGCAGATATTTATATTGGAGCTTCAATTTGATACTGGGTAATTTTTTTGTATTGTTACAAATGTGAAATGTTTGTTATCGTGTAATTAAGTACCTGTTTCTAAACTTGTGAAAAGGGGGCACCGCCTCATCCATTGAAATCCCAGCTGATTTACAGAACTAACCAGAGCAATTTGGAGGCGCCCAGCATTAACAATTACATCCTTCTTCTCATTCTCAGTTGGAAAACAGTTTAACTGTTTCATGAGGAGTAAGTTGTCCTCCAAACTGAACTGGAGTTTAAGAAGATCAACCATTATATTCTTAAGAACTTCATTGTCTTCAGATGTAGCATTTAAGTCCTTGGAGAAAAATACAGATAAAGTTTGAAGCATCCCGCTAGTCTAACGTGTGAGATATTTAAAAGCAAATTTAAATGGCACTTTTACCCAAAAATGTTTTTTTTTAAATAAATGTGCCACAGAAACAGTTAGTGCAGTGTAGTGGTAACCTAACACTATGCCTAACTTACATTACATATAATTACACTTTAAATAATTACCCTAAATAGCCTTGGTGGCTTTACTTATACAGAGAAGTCATGACGCCATAATTCTTTGAGTTCTGACCCGATACAAACTTGTGATTTTTTAAAAACAAATTGGTTGAATTTTTAAGATCCAATAAAAAAATTAACGGAATTTTTCGAATTTAAATAGTAAAAAATCATTAAAATTTTAATTTTTTAAAATAATAATTAAAGAAAGTCTACTTTTATATAAACTGTTATTATAGGAAATGTAATAATAGGATTTAGAACTAAAAAACTATTACTTACAGGAAATGTAATTAAATTAAATTCTTTTTAAATAAGGAATCACTGCATGATTATAAGACGTGTACGTGATAGCTATCTGAGGTGCCCGGCGTTGCTTGTGGAAATTTGAAAAAAAAAATTATTTAATTTTATTACAATCGATCAAGGATGAAATAAATTGGCGATGTTTCTGATTAATCTATATTTTCCTGCATATTTTTGTTTAATTTAGATCTCTCAGCATCAAGCTGTGACTGGTTTAGAACCTCAAAAGGAAGCTCCATATTAATCTGAAAACATTACATCATTATCTAACGTATATTATGCATTCGCGTCCTTTTCTTAGAACATTGCAGATATTCTAGGGAAAAAATTCCACTCCCCCCCCCCTCTTGAAAATCATTTTATCCTTTAGAACTAAAGTGTTTTTAGGGTTCTATTCGCTTAGTTGGGAAAAGTTTTGGGATTAAGAGCATCAAAAAGGTTGAACAAACTTGCATTTAATCTCCAATCGAACCCCCCCCCCCCAAAAAAAAAATGGAAACCTCCCAAAAATGATTTTTTTTAAGGCGTTCCATGTTTCTTCAAAAATTATCGGAAATCCCTCAAATCTAATTTCTCGAGGAATTTCCCGTTTTTTTTGGATACGTTTCCCCAATTTTTCGGTCGGATTCCGGTTTATACTGGTCTTATATTTTTGAGGGATTTCCCAAGGTTTTCGATCCGTTTCCTCATTTTTTGGGTCTGTTTCCGGTTTTCAGAAATAGTTTTAAATTCTCAGTTTGTTGATCGGTTTCCTCTTTTTTTTGGGGTCCGTTTCCTCTTTTTTTTGGGTGTGCATTTCCTCTTTTTTGGGTCCGTTTCCGGTTTAAGAAAAGTTTTTAATTCTCAGTTTGTTAATCGGTTTCCTCTTTTTTTGGGTCCGTTTCCGGTTATCAAATAAAGTTTTAAATCCTCAGTTTGTTGGTTGGTTTCCTCTTTTTTTGAGCCCGTTTCCTTATTTTTTGGGTCCGTTTCCTCTTTTTTAGGGTGTCCATTTCCACTTTTTTTTGGGTCCGTTTCCAGTTTAAGAAAAGTTTTAAATTCTCAGTTTGTTAATCGGTTTCCTCTTTTTTTTGGGTCCGTTTCCGGTTTTCACAAAAAGTTTTAAATTCTCAGTTTGTTGGTTGGTTTCCTTTTTTTTGGGCCCGTTTCCTTATTTTTTGGGTCAGTTTCCTTATTTTTTGGGTCCGTTTCCGGTTTTCAGAAATAGTTTTAAATTCTCAGTTTGTTGGTTGGTTTCCTCTTTTTTTTGGGGCCCGTTTCCTTACTTTTTGGGTCCGTTTCCGGTTTTCAGAAATAGTTTTAAATTCTCAGTTTGTTGAAGCGTTTCCATAGCACCATTTGCATGGAGGCCACTTAAAATTACGCTTCCAAAGTCCCTTTTATGTTCAGAATTAAACACCCCTGGGTTAAAGGAACCCTAATCTATATATAAATTTGGCTTGTCTGTCTGTTTGTCTGTCAAAACGGCTGAACCGATCGGGCCCAAATTCAAATTCGATCGTCATTAAATTTTTGAAAATTTTGAAAATCCACGAAATTTTTTGTGAAAATCCGGGAATTATTTTTGTTTTGTTTTACGATGTACACTTAAAGAGAACATGTTCACAAATAATTTAGAAGATGGGCGCGAAGCGCCCTCTAAGGTTAGTCTATATATAAATTTGGCTTGTCTGTCTGTTTTGGTGTTTGTTTGTTTGTTTGTTTGTTTGTCTGTCTGTCTGTTTGTATCAAATAAACGTCAAAACGGCTGAACCGATCGGGCCCAAATTTTTTGTGGGACATCATGTGACCACAGGGAAGGTTTATGAATGATTGAAATTTTAAAAATTTGTGTTTAAAAGTTTTTTATTTTTGTAAAATTTTGAAAATGTGCGAAAAAATATTATGAAATCCGCAAACTTTTTTGTTTTTGTTTTATACTGTACAAAGAGAAGATGCTCACAAATAAAGCCACAATTAAAAGTTTAAATAGAAGTTGGGCGCGAAGCGCACAAAAAGCCTAGAAATTCAGGGCGCGAAGCGCCCTGAATTTCTAGTTTTATGTATAAACAGTGCTGGGAAACCACCGTATATGTATTCAGCTGACAAAAACAATATCAATCACACCCATACAATCTAGACAAAATAATATAAATAATGAACAAAGAAACTCACAATATCTAATAACATTACTGCTGACACGTTTTCAACATTTAAAGCTTTATCTGTATTATCACTGAAACTATCTTGCTAACTTCGTCTACTGCAGAAGAAGACTGTTACTAGATAAATTTTTTCGTCAAATTCAAATTCACCTTTGAAACTTGTTATTCGTCATTTGATTTTAAACCTTGTCATTATGATGTGGATAGATTTCAGGAGTTTTCACAACTTTTGATACTATCCGAAACTGATGGAACACCTGCAATCTGCATCCTTTACCACTTTGCAGGCTGTAATAATTTCTTTAAACTAAAAGGTCATTGATCCACTTTCGTCTGCCAGGGTTTGTCTTTAAAGCCTATTCGTCGAAAATTGATATTGTTTCCCAGGTCTCCGCATTCCAGAACAACCTTCTCAAGAAAACTTGATTGATATTTTTTAAAAGTGCTTTATTTACTACTAGCTGAAGAGCCCGGCGTTCCCCGTGGAATTTCAAATTTTTTTTTGGCTTTATAGGTGAAATAAAGTACCCATCGGTTTCCTCGAAAAATGTCAGCCAATTTGGTTCAGCCGTTTGACCCTCTATAGCTAATGAGCTTTCTTATTACGACTTTTTTGTCTTATTAATCAACGGGCTTTTGTCTGATTTTTTTTTTATATCTTCCTGGTTTCAGTTTTCTGTAGAGAGGGTTTTACTCAGCTGTATCTTTGGATTTTGGTGTGTGAACACGTGTCTTGTGTTGTAGTAGATTACTTTTAGAGGTTGATGCATGTTCACATAAATCACAAGGATATCTGATTTTCTCATGAGCGCTTTCTATGTGAGCTTTTAAATACCTAGGAATTGTTGCAGCATAATCACACTGACTGCAAAATAGTGAAGGTGGTTCGTGCTGAGTGGTTGTGTGAAGTTTGATGTGAAAAAAACTCTTGCCAACATAGTTGCACTTGTCACAAGGGAACTTTATTCCATTGTGTTTAAAGTTTATGTGCTTCCGCAATTGCTCTGATCGATGAGTTACATATTCACACTTATCACACATGAATGTTTTGGTGTCATGCATTCCTGTAATATGTGACATCAAAAGTGGCTTAGACTTACCAACATAATCACACTGATCACACATAAACTGAATTCCGGAATGACAATTTTTAATGTGAACCTTTAAAAGTGATTTATTCCTCCCTACATGATCACATTGGTCACATCGTGCTCCGCCATTTTTGTGATGTTTTCTCCACTTATGTTTTTTCATGGCTTCTATAGTTGGTGAAACATGGTCACATTTGTCACATTGTTGAGGACCTGCAAAAAGAATTAGTTGGTTAGTTGGTTTGTATTAACAAAGAGAAACCCTTAGACGGCAAAACCAATTGGACTTGAATTTTACACTAAAAGCATTGTATTGACAATTTGACAATTAGTACAATTCACAAAACGTGAGCACACCAGAACATCAACGATTGTTCTACAAAACGTGAGCACATTAGAACATCTACGATTGTTCTACAAAACGTGAGCACACTAGAACATCTACGATTGTTCTACAAAACGTGAGCACATTAGAACATCTACGATTGTTCTACAAAACGTGAGCACACTAGAACATCTACGATTGTTCTACAAAACGTGAGCACACTAGAACATCTACGATTGTTCTACAAAACGTGAGCACACTAGAACATCAACGATTGTTCTATTAAAGCGATCGTGACCGTGAAAGCGAGGTAGTACAGCTGAGAGCTCAGTATTATTGAATAAAACAGTTTTATGTGATATCATTAAAATATGTTTTTACGTTGCATAATTGCTAAGTGAGAGCGCAAAGACATTCTTTAACATTTTACATGACGAATTTGTAGTGGGATGCTTTGTTTTATTAATATAGATGCTGCGCTGTCACCTGAACTATCCCGATATGCAGATCACTCCCTTTAAACTGGCAAAAAATTGAGGGGAAAAAATATTTACCTTCTGTATCTATTTTCTCTTTTTTCACATTACTTAGGTTTGAAGGATCTACTTTCATAGCAGGAAAGTTTGTCTCTTTTGAGATCATTTTTGAATCAAATTGAAACATTTTATCCTCTCCGGCTTCTGTAAGATTATCCATCTCATCCACATCAATTTTTATTTCAAGACAGGAAAGAGTTTGGTCGTGCAGTGAAGGAACATCAGATGTTAATCTTGTTTGCTCCCCTGAAGAAAAAAACATCAAACTTAACAAAATTCTTCAAATTTTTATTGAAAGATTGTTGATATCTTTACGAAAAGCAACAACTAAAGCAAATGATTTAATCAAAATTCATTTAAATCATGGTATTTATTAAGTACCTGTTTCTAAACTTGTGAAAAGGGAACAATGACTCATCCATTGAAATCCCAGCTGATTTACAGAACTGATCAGAGCAATTTGGAGGCGCCCAGCATTAACAATTACATCCTTCTTTTCATTTTCAGTTGGAAAACAGTTTAACTGTTTCATGAGGAGTAAGTTGTCCTCCAAACTGAACTGGAGTTTAAGAAGATCGACCATTATATTCTTGAGAACTTCATTATCGTCAGATTTTGCGTTTAGAGCCTTTAATAAATATAGAGATAAAGCGAGGCTTGAGTCAAGGATTTAAGAATTAAAATTTTCAGAATATTTCATTGATTAAATAAATTTGTAACAAAAATGACCTGGCAACAGTAAATAATTCACAGATCTCTGACATCCGTCAATTCGTCAATAAATCAAACAATCAGTCAATCAGTCAACCAGTCAATCGGTCAATAAATTATTCACTCAGTCACTAAGTCACTAAGTCACTAAGTCACTAAGTCACTAAGTCACTCAGTCACTCAGTCACTCAGTACTCAGTCACTCAGTCACTCAGTCACTCAGTCACTCAGTCACTCAGTCACTCAGTCAATCAGTCAATCAGTCAATCAGTCAATCATTCAGTCAATTAATCAGTCAATTAATCAGTCAATCAATCATACAATCAATCAATCAATCAATCCGTCAATCGGTCAATAAGTCAATTAGTCAATCAATCAATACGTAAAACCGTCAATTCAGTCATTTCTTCACTCATTCGGTACACAGAAAAAAAAACACAATAAATTAATCAATAAATCTATAAAATACTTCATCCATCAATCGAACATAAATTAGAATTTAAGAAAAAATAACATTTGACATTTTAGAATGAAATTAGTTTAGTTTGGGATTTAACACCTTTTTCATCATTAATAAAGATGTGTTTATTGAGGTCGAATTTAAAGAATTTAGACCGGTTGCAGTTCTTCTAGAAATTTTAATCAGTGTTTCGAGGTTTGAGCCCGCGCGCAATTTGAACGGGTGATCAGCGGTTCAGCGACGCGGGTCAAATTCATTAAATTCGACCTTTTCTTAATCAATCGCCTATCCAGCTAGCTATCTATATAATAAAGCTTTCGTTTATATAAATATATTTATATATTTATATACAGGGTGTCCCACGAAACATGACAATAGCAAGACGACTTGAAAGTCGTCTTTGGTATTTGAATTTATTTGTGACATTTAGTCTTCTATCTACTTTAACATGTATGATTCTTGAAACAATTATCACATAATTCTCCTAGCCCTGGCATTTACAAAAAGTGGTCTGCGTTTTTTGTGCTTTCAATATTACTGGAGAGTTTGGTTCAGATTTCAATTTTGTTAAATAAAAGCAAAATTGTCGAAATCTGAACGAAATTCTTCATATCTCGGGCAATATTGAAAGCACAAAAAAGGCAGACCACATTTTGGAAATGGCAGGACAAGGGAAATTTTGTGATTATTATCTCTAGAAATTTACTTCTAAAATTAGGTTGACACATGAACGCAGCAAATTATATCAAAAATCAAGACGACATTCAAGTCGTCCTGCATACTGTCATGTTTCGTGGGACACCCTGTATTAGCTATGGCTGGCCTAACAGCTGAACAAAATTGGCTGAATTTTTATGAGGGAAACCTCGAGTCAATGAGTTCCCCTGGAGTAACAAAGTCTTAAAAAACATTTTTTTTTCAAATATTATTTTTTTTAAATTATATTTCTTTTTCAATTTTCCGCCAATATTCTATATTTTCCTGAATATTTTTGTTTAATTTAGTTCTCTCAGTATCTAAATCTGTCTGGTTCAGAACCTCGAAGGGAAGCTCCATTTTAGTCTGAAATTGAAATTGAATGTTTATAATGAAGGATATGTTTTTAATATGATATCCATTTAATGAAAATGTTTTTACTCATAAACTCGTGGCCTTGGAATATATTTCAATCTTCAGAAAATAATACCTCTAGGAGAATACTTCATAATATAGAATTTGTTAAATCTAATTAAGTTAGAAGCTTAACGTTTGGGATTAAATTACATTTTTATTGCCATAATAAACGCACCGATCACAGTTAAACAAAATTCGAGGAAACCGATCAACAAATTAAGATTTTAAAAGTTATTGAAAAAAGCGGCAACAGATCAAAACTATGTGGAAATGGATCAGAAAGAATGAGGAAACCGACCAGAAAAAAAAGAGGAAACCATTCAACTATAAATATTGGGAAACGGATACAAAATATTCGGAAATCCCTCAACAATTCTGAGCTTTTGAGGGAATTCTTTGAAATTCCTCAAAAGTCAATTTGATCCGTTTCCGTGTTGCTCGGTTTCCATGTTACCAACAATTTCTGTATCTTAAAAGTATTTCAGACTTTCAGCCAACTGTCTCTTTTAATTTCTTTTTCCTTCAGTGACAGGTCAGGACTAGTTCACTTGATGCTACGTTTTCACAGCTCTCCCAGCTTACACAGGACATGAACCTCTCAATCAATTTGCCACAAATGTTGATGGGAGAACTCTGGAGAACCACGTGAATGTTCTTAGTTTTGAGATTCTAAGTTAAGTTGGTCTCCAACCTTTATATAAAATAGCTAAAATTGTAATTTACAACCATGCGCGGGTAAACGGCGGGAGTAACCATGAGTATTGAGTACCCTGGGCAACGCTGGGTTCTCAAGCTAGTACATGATAAAGGTAAGGCTCGAGTTAATATGTGATTCTTTTAAAACGGCATAATCACGGCTTAAAGTAGTATTATAGTAAAACTAGCTCAATACCATAGCATTATAAAATATTTTCCTAAGTAAACCGGCCATTTATAATCTTCTTTGACTATTTTCTGCTAAGATGTTTACTATAAACTCCAATTTTAAAGCTTTTTTGAAATATTTTATCATTGTTTAAACGATATTTGATTTTCAAGATTTCTTGTTTTTTGATGGTCAAACATTCAAAGAAGGAGAAAAATCGCGTTTTTCAACTTTAATCCCGCTTGCTCAACACAAGACTATCAAAAATCTATGATTTATCGGAAATAGAATGTTTCTAGTGTTGAGACAACTGTGAAAGCCGAAAATTTCGTGCGATTTTTTAATTTTATATACTAAAATTTCGATCAATCAATCAAATGTATCTTTTGGCTCTAATTTATGTACTCGTCTCTTATGTTGTCTAAGATTGCCTTGTGATGTCGACGCATGATCACATAAATTACAAGGATATCTTATTTTTTCATGAGCACTCTCAATATGAGCTTGCAAAAACTTTGCCAGCGTTGCTGAATATTCACATTTATCACAGAAGAATTTGGGAGGTTCATGTTGAGTCTCTTTGTGTGATTTGACACGGACTAATGACGCCCCGACGTAGTTACATTGATCACATGGAAAAGAAACTCCATCATGTTTATATTTGATGTGTCTTTGGAGCAGCAATGTAGTTTTACCAATATAATCGCATTGATCACAGAGGTACATGTTGTTCATGTGTCTCGCCTCCTCGTGTAATCTGAGATTTGATTTGGATTTAGTAGAATATACGCACTGATCACATCTATATATAACTTCAGAATGACAGTTTTGAATGTGTTGCTTTAATTTCGTTTTTGTTTTACCGACAAAATCACATTCCTCACACGGAGACTCGGTGCAATGTTGAGTTTCAATGTGTATTTTCATGTGCTCCGTGGTTTCGGCTAAAAAGTCACACTTTGCACATTTAGTCCAGCTGGGATTGGAAAGGTCAGGATGATATATCTTAATGTGTCTTTTCAAACACATTTCATTTGTTCCTTCATAAGAACAGAACTGACAGGGTTGCTTATTTGTGCCATGAACCCTTTCCGTGTGCTTTTTCAGACACTTAAAATTTTTCGTTGAAAACTCACAAAATTCGCACGAATAATTCTTGTGCAATTTCTTTCTGTGCTCCAAAAGCTTCTTATGAGTAGGTCCCACGAAGTCACAATCAACGCAGAAGTGGATTTTCTTCTTGTTCTGGCTTAACCCTGAAATAAATTATCTATTTTAAGAGCTTTGAGAAAAAATATTAGTTTCGATTTTTCATTAAAGGGTAATTTTCTGAGAAACAACGGCAAAATAGGGAACCCCAGCTTGCTTTTTAAAATCTTGTAGAAACTTTTCCACGAAAACTATTGAATAAAATTTCTTCACAAAATAATCTTAATTCTCCATAAGTTCAAGGTCCATCGATAGAAAAAAATCCTCAAAAGCCTTGACACTTGTCTATTTTTTTAAATACCTTCTTTGTGTTTATGTTGCACATGCTGGCGAAGTGTGGATTTGAGAACTGAGGTGTAACTGCACTCCTTGCAGGAGTAGTAGGACTCCTCATGTACGTTCTTCTTGTGTTTAAACAGTTGAAATTTAGAGGAAAAATCTAGCTCACAATGTTGACATTGAAATTCTTTTCGGTCATCCTTGCTCTCTTGGTTTGGAGGTTCAACACCTTAATGAATAATAAAATAAAATATGTCTAGCCCGTTAGACTCTAATCCCATTAATCTGGAAGTTAATAATTTGAATTTTCCACTTTAAGATTACATCATTATTGATGTACTACAGTAAGGTACAACACCAGCCTTCTACATCAACAAAAATAGCAATTTAAGAAACTGTAAGGGCAATCTCAAGTTACAATCTCAAGTTACAATTACAACGATATCACGATATCCCTTGATGGCTTTGCCTGATATAGTATGAATTAAATATCCATTCGCCATTTTTTAACCGTTTCTTTTTATTTGTGGTTTCTCTGAAAAAGGGACTTGCACATTTCTTGCTTGTAAGAAACAATGGAGAAAATATCAGAATTAAACATTTTCGAGTCAGAAAAACGAGATTATCTTCTGTATATTAAATCAGATGAAGGTTTCAAGGTACCGTAGTAAATTGGGCATTGTCATCTTTAATGAAGGGTCACTTGAGAAGAGAGGGTTAATTTACCTTGTAAATTTTCCTCCTTGACAATAAGACTGGGAAAGTTTGATATGTTTGATGTATCAAAACCAGGGGTTTCATCATCAAACTGAAACCCAGTTTCTTCAAGATCTATTTTAACTTCGTCCCAAGATAGCCATTTGTATAGACCCAGATCAGCATCAGGAGTAATGGCTTTTTCACCGCCTAAACATCAGAGCTATAATAAATAGGGGTTAACATTTTTCGGAATTGTTTCCCTACTAGTCTATATTTGCTGGAAAAAAAAAAAACTAAAAGTAAGACGTTTTTATTATTAACCCACGAACTGGGGTAGCACGCACACATTCTTTTTATATTGAAGTGAAACATTTTGGATGAAGGGTTTGAAAAAATTAAATATTTGCCCCCATGGTTTCTAACAAATTTCTCTATTTTTACAACTTCTTAATCAAAGTTTGAAATTTTTATTATTAATTACCTTTTCCTGAAGTTGAAGCCGATGCTAAAATAGTTTGATCAAGACCATTTCCATTCTCAAGCCACGCGGTTCCCAGCTGATTTACCGAGCAAATAGAATTAATATTTTGCCGCGCAGCATTTATAACAGTTTCCTTCTCTTCTTCATACTCAAGATGGACGCTCAGTTGTTTAATTAACCGAAAAATGTCCTCTAATTTAAATTGCAGTTTTAGAAGATCCAACATCATTAATTTGAGCACTTGATCGCCTTGGGATCTGGTTTTAATACCCTGAAGAGAATATAGATTTGAACCAGCAAGAAGTTGATTGTTCTTTAAAATGATGACAAACTTAACTGTTCATCTTAGATGTTAAACTCGATGGTCCCCCCTCCCCCATAAAAAGAAACATTTCAAAGTCTACCCTTATAATCTATATATCTCACTGAATATAATCCTTTATATTGATTTATCTGGTTTATACCAGTATATAATCTATATATCTCCCTGTATATAAACCTATATATATTGAATTATCTGGTTTAATCCAGTAAATAATCTGTATATCTCCCTGTATATAATCCTATATATTGATTTATCTGGTTTAATCCAGTAAATAATCTATATATCTCCCTGTATATAATCCTATATATATATTGATTTATCTGTTTAATCCAGTAAATAATCTGTTTATCTCCCTGTATATAATCCTATATATATTGATTTATCTGGTTTAATCCAGTAAATAATCTCTATATCTCCCTGTATATAATCCTATATATTGATTTATCTGGTTTAATCCAGTAAATAATCTGTATATCTCCCTGTATATAATTCTGTATGCTAGATCTTTGATCTTGAAGTACAGGAGGAGCTAGAGATTCGAACGGGAGTTCCATTCTGAATCTGAAAATAAACTAACAAACATTTTTTTTTAACATCATAAATATGAAAATAAATCCCGATAAATCAATCAATCAATCAATATTTTTGCACTGACCAGTAGTAAAAAATTCCCCCAAACCCTTGTTTGAGTAAGTAAGTTTTTTCTTCTATACAAAATTTTAAACAAATTTTGCAGCACAGACAAATTTCTTGTGTTTTCCAGATAGAAAAAAACGATATCATCTTATTTGTTGCTCAAATATAGGGGTTAATGGTATCGTAGTAAATAATTAGATATCGGAGACAGTCCGGTCAGAAAAAAACGCATAATTATATAAGACAAAATCTACAAACTGTTAATAACTTTTTTGTCAGAACGCTTCGGGAAATATACTTTCTAGAATTTACATAATCGTTAAAGGGAGTGACCGGCTATGTAAAGTAGTTGAACTGAGTATGCAGTGTTGTGGAAAACTTCTTTCGGATTCATTTGAGACATACTAAACTTTCTAAAGATCTGTAAATCCTGAGTAACTCCTACTTTGGGGGTGGATACGTTTTCAGATTTAGTTTTTTTTAATTATTAAATAACGAAGACATAAAATGTAAAAAGTTCTTCAATAAACTACAGACGTCATGTATAGGAACAGGTTGAAAAATAAAAATTAACTTTTATATTTAAAATAAATATAATATATTTATTTTAAATTTATTTTTAGTCATGAAAATGGTTCCTCATTTTCCATGTGGTTTTCTGCAGATTTTCTAGAATTATTGAAAAGACGACATTTGAAGAATTTAAAGAAATCTGCGAAAAAATTCAAAGAAAATTAGAAATTCAATATAATGATAAAAACGAAATAATTGATTCTAGAATTGATTTATTGGCAAATTTCTTTTGAGATATATGTTCCCAACCATCTAATTAGATTACTGCGTGATTTTTACTTTTTTTTCGTCGTCGTTATTTAGTAATTTTAAAAAACCGATTCTCAAAACGTATCAATCCCCAAAGTAGGAGTTTTGAACGTCGAATTTGCGCTCAAGCACAGGATTTACAGATTTTTAAACAGTTTAATATGTCTCAAATAAATCCGAAAGAAGTTTTCCACAACACTGCATACTCAGTTCAACTACCGGTCACTCCCTTTAACCTTCTCAATCTTTCTGCAGAATACGTGTAAAAATATCTTGAATAATTACCCGAGGTAAAAAATTAACAAGGATGAGTCATGAGTACCCATAAAGGATGAGACTTTGCACTTTATACATAATTTAAAAACATCTTTCTTACATGTATGGTCATGCTTGCGCGCATCTTAGATTAGTTTGTTTCTAAAATTGCTAGATCTTCCGAAATACCATAAAGACTTTAAAATCTTGATTAAAGGGACTGTACGCGTAAATTTAAGTGATCCTCCATGCAAGGATAGCAATGAACTCATTACTAAGTACCCATGAAACCTTCACTTGATCAATTATGTGGTAAATATATTCTTTTTTCCTAGGTTTCAAAGTATTTCATTTTTATAATTTCTATACGTTTTCCTGCAGTAGAAATGCGCATATTATAATTGAAGTATTATTAATTGGGCATTGAAATCTTTGCAAGTTGAGTTACTCGAAATTACGCTTACAGATTGTTTAATTTTAACAATTTTCTCCTTCGTTTCCGTGACAAATCCGCAAGGTAATATTACAACATACTGCATTGTGAAATTAAGTCTTACTGCAACAAAGAAGTTAAACTATTCTCTCTAGATGTACTTCTGTCTTAAATTCTTTTAACGATAATTAGAAATACCCTCTGGTCACATTTTTGTACATTCTGAATCTGAAATGCATTAAAAAGATATATTTATTAGAAAATAAGCAATTCTATTCCAAAATGATAAATGCAAAATCAAATTAAATGCTATGTGAAAAGTTGAGAAATCCGCAAAATCTTGTTCCGTTTTCTGAATTTGCGGATTTCTTGGGACTGGTTTAATAGTGAATAGTTAAAATAATTATCAATGAAGGTTAATACAATAACGAGCAATGAAATTTCCCGGAAGAACATTTGGTAAAAACGGACTCTTGATGCCAATTCTTGGTCGAGGCGAAGAGCTGCAAGAAGCTGTCACAGAGATAGAGGCAGGAGCAGCTGCGGCAGGAAGCAGCTTACATCCTGTCAGTGGAGCGAAGCTGCTTTTCAACACTCTCCTCGGAAGCTTCGCTGCTGTCAGTAGCCTACAATTTATCAAATATTATTTTCAAGAAACGCAAAAACTATATTTTTGCTACAAACCTGTATATACTTCTGTACACCAACAAGAGACTTCTTGAGAGCATCGAAGGAAGAAGAGTACAACATTTTCTTCTTGATCTTGGCACTAAATAATAAATTGGATATTATAAATCTCATACCTAAAATTTTTAGCCACAATTATCAATACAACTAAAAAAATGTCTATTCGTTTGAAACAAGGGTATTAATTTTTTTTGCCCCTTTTAATCTGGTTGGATGACTAGTACCTGTCAGGGCACCAGGACATGAGGAACAGTTTCTGCTTCTTGCTGGACTCAGTAGTTCCCTGGCATTGATGCTCATACTCGAAATCATACAGACCATACCTAAAATGATATTCACATTATTATCATCATTATTATTATTGAAGGTCAACTCTTAGTTAAATGAAGTCGGGGTCGGCGCTCCTCCTCCGCTGGTAACGTATCCAAGGATAATGTCACAAATAAGTGCTTTAAGGTTTTTTAGTTTGTCTGCGAGTGTGAGTGAGGGTCTGTTACTGTTAAACACTGTTTGAGTGAGTAATAAGGTTCAAAAGTGTTTAAAAGTGTTAAAAACTGTTTACAAAGTGTTTAAAAGTGTGTTTGAAACTGTGTTTAAAACTTTGTTTAAAACTGTGTTTAAAACTGTGTTTAAAACTGTGTTTAAAACTGTGTTTAAAACTGTGTTTAAAACTGTGTTTAAAACTGTGTTTAAAACTTTGTTTAAAACTGTGTTTAAAACTGTGTTTAAAACTTTGTTTAAAACTTTGTTTAAAACTTTGTTTAAAACTTTGTTTAAAACTTTGTTTAAAACTTTGTTTAAAACTTTGTTTAAAACTTTGTTTAAAATTGTGTTTAAAATTGTGTTTAAAACTGTGTTTAAAACTGTGTTTAAAACTTAGTTTAAAACTGTTTTAAAACTGTGTTTAAAACTGTGTTTAAAACTTTGTTTAAAACTTTGTTTAAAACTGTGTTTAAAAAGTGTTTAAGAGTATTCATGAGTGAGCGTTAAAAAATGTAGAGTGTTTAAAAGTGTCAGTTCATAAACCTGTTTAAGAGTGTCAGAGTGTTAAAAAGTGTTAAGCGTTAAAATGTGATCAGTTTTAAAGTGTGTGAAAGAGAGTGATAAAGTGTTGCAAAGTAAATTACCTGCACTCACTGTCTCCAGCTTTCTGTAGATCAGTCAAGAAATCTTCATACTTAGCATCTCTCTCTCCTATTCATATTTTAGTTGAACAAAATGATAATCAGGAGGGGCTGTACTCTTTGCCTCACCACCTTCTATCTATCTATATACTTTGCTGTCTGTTTGTATCCAATAAACGTCAAAACGGCTGAACCGATCGGACCCAAATTTTGGTAGGGGCCGTACATGACCCAAGGGGAGGTTTCTGGATGATCATAATAAAAATTTTTTAAAAAGCGAACAGAATTCTATTTTCATTAAATTTTGAAAATCCATAAAATCCTCTGCTGCAAATGATCTTAAAGACAATCCCAAAGGTCTGTAAGCGTAATTTCAAGTGACATACCTTGCAAATATGGCAATGTCCAATTTACAACGGTAAGCTGAAAAGTTTAGTTTGCTCAAGTTTGAATTACATATCCAAGCTTTTGTTTCATTAATTTATTTTTATTTGCAGTTTCCTTGTAAAAAGTAACTTACGCATTTCTTGCTATTTTAAGAAGGAATTAAGAAATTATCCGAACTCAACACTTAGTCAGAAAAAACGACGATATCTTCCACAAAATATGCGTTCAGTCTCTTTGATTGGAATAAAAAGTTAACTTCATAAAATGAAGACCAGGTAAAGAACCTCATCTGTTTTATTGCATTTTCCTAATTTGGTGAAACCCTAAGTATTTTTGTTGACAACGGAATTGTTCTTTTTCGTTTTAAAAATTCATTCAGATTTTTTTTTCTTACCAAGAGACTCCACTTGAATAGTCTTCTCATCCTTGATAAAGAAGACGACATATCTATAAAAAAATTTATATTTTAAACTTCAGTTTCAACTTAACGCTATATTATTCGAATTTTGGGGAATCTGAAAAATCTAGATAATCAACAGCAATCCCCCCCCTCCCCCCCTTTATTGACACTTTTCACCCAGCCAAAATGGACCCCCCCCCTCCTATCAATTTTGTACATGACCACTTATTTTACAGCCAAATTATTATCATTTTTTTTATTATTTTGGGGTTATGTTAGGTTAAGACAATTTCTGGGCCGAGCGCTGCGGCTAGGACAGGCTAGGGGTCGAGCGTATCTGCTAGGAGACCGGGCGCTACGGCCCCATGACAATTAGATCCATGTGTTACATATGAGATCCATGTACAAAATTGATAGGAGAAGGGGGCGTGGGGTCCAAAAATCCTTCTGTAGGAAATTACCATATTTTCCGCTTATAATCAATTTTCCCCAATCCCCCTTTTCTACAAAATCCTTTCCATTGTTTTAAACTAACACCTATTTAAAACTATGCGTCACATGTTCAGTTTATCTTTTTACTACCTTAAACTCAACATTTGTTAATTTGAGGGGCGGAATTCTATAGTTGGGGATATGAACTGAACAGAGGCGAATTTGAAAATATTTCCATTAAATTTAGACTTTCTTATTAATTTTAAGGTTTCCGAGTGTTTTAAGTCCCTACGGATGTTTGAAAACACAGAACACTCAGCATATAAGTTGCCTCCCCCCCCTTTCCATGTAAACGTCTTCCGACTTTTATACTTGATTAGACAAACCTTACCTGTACTTTTTATCCTTCTTAACTGCCTCAAAATGGGTTTTGCATTCGTCACTAACTGCTACTCCAGAAGACTAAAAAAATGGTTGAAAGTATAAAAAACAACATAATTTTTAAAATTTAAAGTATAATTAAGTAAATTAATAAAATTAATATTCTACCATGTTGGCTTAAAGTCAGCTGCAAGAAGAGTTCACTAACACCGGTCCAATACCTTGTTAATACCTTGATAGATAGATAAACATATACCTATCCCTTCTCCACAGTACACATTATACCGCCCTTCAGATGCGCAGATGTATTTTTTCGTCTTATGCGCATAAATGTCCATTTTCTAACCGTCTGCGCAACTCAAAGTTTTCAGGGACAAATCTAAAATATTATTATTCACATTTTGGGGAGGAAGAGTTAAGGGAGTAAAAGGATTTTAGCAGGCCCGACCCAGGGGGGAGTGCAAGGGTTCAGGTGCACCCCCCTTTCTCCTAAAATGGGGATTCAATGACGAATTGTACACCCCCCCCCCACCCGGTTTTTGAATAAATTGCTTGGGATAATCTTCTCTTGAGAAATTAAGATATTATATCATTCAAAGTTTTCAAATTTTTGTTATTATTCTGTATAATATAATATGTATATGTTATATCTGAACAATTCTATTTCTAAGTATTAAGCTGTTCCCTCAGAGCAACCAAAAACCTTCTTTTATAAAAAGAAATTGTCCTGCAGAGGTATAGATTTCATGTTCGTGTTTCTTTCGTTTTGTCGATATACATGATACATACCGACAGGGGCGGATACAGGATTTAAGTGAGGGGGGGGGGCAAGATTTTTTAGGAACAAAAAAATTAATAATTAGGAACAAAAAATCGTGCCGCAGGCGAAATTTTGTTTTGACTTAAAAGACTCAAAAACTAAGAGTCAAAATTAATGACTAAAGACTAAAAAACTAGATTTTTAACTTTAAGGAACAAAATTAACAGATTAGAACAGGAATTTAGGAACAATTAAAAGATTGTTCAGGAATTAGGAACAAAAATAAATGATTAGTTGACAGGAATTTAGGAACATTTAAAAGATTGTTCAGGAATTAGGAACAAAAATATTGGATTAGGACAGGGATTTAAGTTGGGTCGGACACAGTATTAGGAACAGGAACAATAATAGGAACATTAGCAATTTAAAAACAAAAAGAAATTATACTAGTTATACTTAAATGCATCAAAATTAGGACCAATATTACAATTTTGATAAATGAGTATTGATTAAGAAACATTACTAGATATGAACAATATTATAACTTAATTGTCTAGTTTCTTACAAATTTTTAATTCTAAATTTATCGTTAACAATAACATTTACTTGTTGTCGTTGATTTTTAAATTAAATTGAAGAAAAGAAAGTCAAGATTTCCATTAAATAAAAAAAGCTTGAAATTGAAAAACACATACGATTTATAAAATTGGGAACATTTTTTGCCTCGAAATCTCAGGGAGGGGCTACGCCCCTCCCTGATCAATCTGTCAGGGGGTGGTGAATGTCCCCCCGCCACCCCCCTGTATCCGCCCCTGCATACCGACGTGATACATGCAATGTAAAAAATATGTTCCAGTATGTATAAAAAATCAATTCTTTAAATTTTGCAGAAACATTGCCTCAGATTCAATATATTTTGTCCAGACTTAATTCAAAATCAGTAAAACGCGTAGTAATATCAAATTTTCAACATTTGCTGTCTTCCAATATCGTAAAAATTTAGCTAAAAACCAAATCATGAAAAGTTTTATGAAAATTTACCGGACAAAATATCAAATTCAGGGAAAATCGAATTTTTACTGTAACATTAAGTTCAAGCTTTATAAATTACATACAAATTAGAAAAAACCTAATAATCATAAATTTCAAGTTATTTCTCGTTTTCTTACCAAAATTCTGAAAATTTTCTATCCAGGGGGGTTTTGCCACCCTGCAACCCTACCCCCCATTCACTACGTTTTACTCGGTGATCCTGGGCCCGTACTTCAACACCTTTCTTTGCACTCCATCCTTCCATCATTCCTTCTACCTTCCTTCCTCCTTCCTTCTTATATTTTTTAGTGATAAATAGAAAACTCTGAAATAAGAAGACGACTTAATAGCATACTTAAGTGCACATTTGATGTTATTACAAAGCAAATAGTTTTACTAGACACTAATTGAATCACAAAATAAGTGAAATGGGTCGGTTTTCACTGCACAATTGCTGTGTTCCATGCTCTTTAGACTATTCAAAGTCATAAATTGAATCTGAAGGTCGTCTTCCTATTTCAGAGTTTTCTGGTTATCACTGTACCTTCCATCATTCCTTCTACCTTCCTCCCTCCTTTTTCCCTTCTTCCTTCTTACATTTTTACAGTGATAAATAGAAAACTCTGAAAAAGGAAGACGACTTAATAGCTAAGTTAAGTATATTTGATGTTGTTACAAAGCAATTAGTTTTACTAGACACTAATTAAACCACAAAATAAGTGAAATGGGTCTGTTTTCACTGCACAGCTGTGTTCCATGCTCTCTAGACTATTTAAAGTCATAAATTGAATCTAAAAGTCGTCTTCCTATTTCAGAGTTTTCTGGTTGATCACTGTACCTTCCGTCATACCTTTTCCTTCCTTACATCAGGATACTCCTTCCTTCTTCCTTCCTCCTGGTCGACTTACCTTTTTAAATCCTATTCCAATTCCATAATTCCAAAATAATATAAAATAAGATAGATATAATTCCTTTACGACGACAATGATGTTCATTGACAATTTCCTATAAATGTCGAAGATTTATCAAACTAAAAATGAAAAATATTGTTTTTATTACATATTTATTAAATGTGAGATTTATTTTTATTCATCTTTAAAATGTTATAAACAACAATAATAAATATTAAATAACAATTGTGAAAGAACTCGAACAGAATTACATTGTTTAGCGAGGAGAAAACAATTATAGAAAATCGATGGAAATAAAAAATAAAAGGAATTTTATCCTCCGACTCCAAGTTACATTTTCACAACATGCCACTATTCCATGCACTGCATGTATCTACTAAACTTTTTAACATTTAAACATTATAATAATATATATAATAAAACAAGACATTCGTATATATATATGTTGTTTTTCAACTAATAGAATAGCTTATCCGATTCACCTTTATAGGATAATGTTTTCAACTAATAGAATAGCTTATCCGATTCACCTTTATAGGATAATGTTTTCTCTATAATAATTGATTAGCTTATTTATACAGCAGAGAAAGAGAAGAGACAGAAAACGACGATCTCTTCCTTATTTTAAATCTAATAACGAAGGATAAAGTACACCGAGGTGAATCTAGCATGAAACTCCTGTATGGCGAGTCCATTAGCACCTGATCCAATCAGGGTTCAGTCATGCATCATTATATCGGCGCTATCAGTAAATGGAAATATTCACTTCTACTGATTAACTATAATGATGTAACGCTTTAATATTTTTAAATTTAAAAGTCCCCTGAAACTTGAAAGGTAAGATAATATTGTTCAACAATATTTTTCTGTAGAAAACTCTTAAATGTTCTCGAATTAATATTTCAAAAGGGGAAATTGACATTAGAAAATTATTTCATTCTAATAACATTTGTTTTTATATATTCGATTTTTTTTTCTTACTTTATCAAAGTTTACATCAAAATTGAGAAAAAAAATATACAGGGTGTGGAAAATTAATAAAATGAGAAAACCGTTAAGGATTCTTTACAGCGAATTGCGAAAAAAAAAATTGCACACTATCCCTCCACCCTATTTTTGCTAACCCTTTTGCAGGTTTGACAGAGAGCTGCAACCTTCTAACAACTTGTCAAAAGATAAGTTTTCCAGAAAATAACAACACGAATTTTATATGATTTTCAGATTCTCATCTCAAAGATCAACTTTAAGAATTATTATAGTATTTGCACAATGCACAGGCTATACAGGGTGTTTTAATAATCAACATGTGTATTGCCAAAATAGACAGTTTTACGATAAAAATTTTTTTTTAGTAAACTTTGACAATGTGTGTGTGTAGGTAGATCAGGGGCGTACTAAGGTTTTTTTCAGGGGGGAGGGAGGGGCTTAAGTTTTTTTCTTTCTGAGGGGGGGGGGATTGGTGGCCCAGAAACCCCTGGAGACCATAAAATTCATTGAACCCCATAGTCCTCTAAACACGCATCTGATTATTTTTTGCTATGTAAAACTCAAAGAAGATTTCATAATGAAGTTAAAAAATAATGTAATAACAATAAGAAATAATAACAATAATAGTAATAATAATAGTAATAATGGAAAGGAAAAAACCTGCGAACTGCAAAGATAAAAGAAAATCTAAAAGTATGAGAATGTTTTTTGGAACACCCTGTCTATTATTCATTTTAAATATTTAACATTATTATCAATAAATATTTCACAATAGTCAGGGGCGTATTCAGGAATTTATACAGGGGGGGGTTGGCTTTATTTTTTCTTTCTTTCTAAAGGGGCTCAGCACTCAATGGGGCCCAAAACCCCGGAAAAAATCACTAACTCAGGGAGCGGGAGCCTCCTCATAGCCCCCCTGAATACGCTTCTGATAATAATACTTTCTAAATACTAAAGTTTTGTTAAATGTCTTTCAGGATTTTGTTTTTAATCAAAATTTGAGAAGGTTTTCAAACAATATAGGAATTTTTGAATATGAAATGTGAATGGCTCACTCTCCACTAAACCCTATTTTCTATTCCGGGAATTCCGGGAGTGTACTGCAAATCACTACAGTACACACCAAAAGCTTAGTTGAGGGCAAGGTTATAATGCAAGGAAATTTAATTGCAGCTGCGTATACTCTGCGTACATATTGAAACCAGTTCTCTCCGGGCGGAATTTGTAAACAAGAATAGATGCATCAGTGTTCCTCTAGTATCCGCGGGAGGATAAAAGCATTTTATTTTAATAATTTTGATAATTCACATAATAGTTTCCTTTGACCAGAATATTTCATTGATTTTTTTATGTGTAAAAGATGGATCCCATGTCAGGCTGTGACATCCGTCTTGTGTTTACATTACCGCCCAGAGACAGTACACTGCTGTACAAAAGATGCGTACACCTCTGAAATAACTTTCCTTGCATTATAACCTTGGTTGAGGGTGGGCTTGTTAACTGTTTAAAATATAAATGATTAGAATATATATAAAAGAGAAGAACTCGAAGAACTGAAGTGACCGAGAACTGTTGCAAAGCTGTGAGGAACAAATACATTTGGTTCCGCTCTAAAAATAATAAAATGATTGATAAGAATATTATCATAATATTCGATGAATATAATTTCATGATGACTAATGTTACAGATAAACTTTAAATTAAATATAAACATTTTTGTTATCACTATCATTATCATTATTTTATTGTTATTAATTATCAAAATTATTTAATTGATATAATTACAAATATTATTAAAAACAATGAACATCTATTACAGCATATAATTCAGTATATCTACAGTGAAACTGTAACTGAAAACTGTGGTTTAATAGGATCCCAACATTGAAGCGCAATAAATAAGTGTATTTGATGTTGTTACAAATCAAATAGTTTAACTAATAACTTCTTAAATCACTAATAAAGTAAAATAGCCTGTTTACACTGCAAGTTGTCTATGTCTCAAGCGCATTGGACTATTTCAAGTCACAACTTAAGATTAAAAGTCGTCTTCCTATTCCAGAGTTTTCTGGAGTATATTAAAATATAGTAAATTCTACCTTACTGCTCCAGAAGCAGACTGAGAACTTCTCTCCCCCTGTATAGGTTTTCTCACAAGCTCTGAAAATATTTTAAAATGAATGCTGACCCATCATTTACAGAGGGGTGGGTTTTATTCATAACAGTACCCTTTTAACCGTTAACCAAGTAAGAGCGAGGAAAATATCGTGGATTCCTTTCTTGTTGTTTTTGCAGTGTTAAAACAACTCTATTTTGAAAAAGAAAAACAAGGATATTTAATTTATTTATGATAGGGGAAAGGTTTAAAGGGGATATCGTTGTAAATAGAGAATGCCACTCTTAAAATGGAATATCGCTGACAGTTCCTTTAAAAAAGATTGAATAGAGTTATAAAGTTAGTTTTTCTTATCAACCCTGGATATAAACTTTACTTTATTGTTTTAAGGTTAGATCTTAAATACATATTGTTGAAACAGCTCATATTTTGTTCAATTTTTGCATTAGAGCTTGCAAGTTGCAACCAGAGGCGTAGTCAAGAGGGGCGGGGGGCTATCGGGGCTAAGCCCCCCCCCCCCCCTGGACCAGTAAAATCTAAGTATTTCAGGGGGTTTTCAGGCCCCAGAGAATACCGAGCCCCCCTGGAAAGAAAAAAAATCTAAGCCCTCTAGAAAAATTCATGACTGCGCCCCTGGTTGTAACCTTTGGATCCCTGTGCTCTAAGAAGAGCCTGAAATACCTGAGAACTGTCCCATTTGTGAATTTGAATTTAGCGCAGACCCACTCCGGACTCTCAGATACAGACCACTTCTTCTCACCATTACCATTTCTTCTAAATATCAAAATCAATCTTTCAATTAAATGTAACAATTAATCAATTAATTAATTAATTGAATTGATTAATTAATTCAATTAGAATTGCACAATTAAGTTAATAGTTAATTATGGAATTTTTCAGTTAGTCGCTAAATACATTAATTAGTTAATTAATTAAACATTTAACCAATTAATCACTTAAGTAATCAATCGAAAATTTAGTTAAAAGTTAAAAACACAATTTATCCATAAATTAATTAATCATTTGTTCAATATGTCTACAATTCAAATTGATAAATCAAATAATCAATCCCTGAATCAAGACGTTGAATCAATTTACTTTTTTAAACCTTGTAATTTAGGCCCTGATCTACAGAAGTTTTGATTCAAACCTTGAAGTTTCTCCCCTAAACCATGAAGTTTCTTATTTAAACCTTGAAGTTTATACCCCAAACCACAGATTTTTCATTTAAACATTGGAGTTCATCCCCTGAACCATAAAACCTTGGAGTTTATGGCCTGGTCTACAGAGGTTTATCCTCTAAACCATAGAGTTTCTCATTTAAACCTTGGAGTTTATTCCCTGAAACATAGAAACCTTGTAATTTATACCATGATATACAGAGGTTTTAATTCAAACCTTGGAGTCTCTCCCCTGAACCATGAAGTTTCGTATTTAAACCTTTGAGTTTATCCCCTGAACAACAGATTTTTCATTTAAACATTGGAGTTCATCCCCTGAACCATAAAACCTTGGAGTTTATCCCCTGAACCATAGATATTTTCATTTCAACCTTGGAGTTTATCCCCTGAACCATAGATTTTTTCATTGAAACCTTGAAGTTTATCCCATGAACCATAGATTTTCTCATTGAAATCTTGGAGTTTATCCCCTGAACCATAGATATTTTCATTTCAACCTTGGAGTTTATCCCCTGAATCATAGATTTTTTCATTGAAACTTTGAAGTTCATCCCATGAACCATAGATTTTTTCATTGAAACCTTGAAGTTTATCCCCTAGACATAGATTTTCTCATTGAAACCTTGGAGTTTATCCCCTGAACCATAGATTTTTTCATTGAAACCTTGAAGTTTATCCTCTGAACCATAGATTTTTTCATTGAAACCTTGAAGTTTATCCCCTGAACCACCGAGTTTCTCATTTAAAACTTGGAGTTTATCTTATGAACCATAAATTTTGTTCATTTAAACCTTGAAGTTTCTAATTTAAACCTCTTAGTTCCTCATTTAAACTTTTACATTAAATCTGAATCTGTTAGAAGTGTTCTCTATATGTATACACAACTTTAGAGCAGAAAAATAGTATTTATAGGTTTTTCTACAACATGTGCTGATGCATAGTCATGGCTATACTTTTGCTTTAATAACACTTTTTAATTACAATTTCTATGCAAAACCCGAACCAAAAACAATCGCATTTTGGTTCCATTTTAATTATATTTTTTGTTAGAATAAAGTTTTTGCATAGTTTAAAAAAGTATCTTCGGTAGAATATGATTTGAAATGTTGGAACCTTTTTTATACAGCAGTATTGTTGTGCTAAATTATAAGTTTTTGCCCATCACTAGCATTCATCATGCATCGTGCATCATGCATCATGCATCATGCATCATGCATCCTGCATCACCCCTTGGCACTCATGAGTCGTGACCAACTGGAAGCTGTTAAAAAATTATATCCAATGTTTAAGCAATATCACAAACATTTCATCTAATTTGACAACCACTGACTGAAAACTACTTTCCCATTCATCACTATATTTCTCCAAAACTTTTAAGAAGAAAAACATTTAATGGAACTGTTGATGCTATTTCAAGACAAATTCTCTATTTTAAAAGTTGCATTCCCAATTTACAACAGTACGATTAAGGATTAATGAAAATAGATGATTACATAAATAGTTAAATCATTATCTCTTAAATCTCTATTATAATCCCTTAAATCACTATATATCCCTTAAATCTCTATTATGATCCCTTTAATCTCTAAAAATAATTCCTTAAATCTCTATTATAATCCCTTTAATTTCTATAATAAACCTTAAATATTTTTATCCCTTAAATCTCTATTATAATCCCATAAATCTCTATCATAATCTTATAAATCTCTATCATAATCCGATAAATCTTTATCATTATCCCATAAATCGTTATTTTAATCCATTAAATCTCTTTTCATTCAACCTTTAATTTCTGTTAATTAATATTTTTATTAAAGTTTTATTTATTTACCAAGAATACAATAACACTGTATAAATGCTAATGAATGATGTTGTTGAAATCTGATTCATTTCATCAAAAAACTTGGATTTAAATATATTTTTCACACATAAATATCATAAAAATTTTATGTCTTGACATTGATTTTGAAATTCAGTTAAAAAAAAAAAATATTTTCGTCTGATCTAATAATAGATTGAAAAATTATTTATTTAGTTAAATTTTTTTTTAATAAATTTCCTTTATTTCTTAATACACATTTTTCATGCAAGAGGTAGATAATAAGAATTTGGTACAAACACTAAACAGTCTAAATGTTGAAAATTGATTCAGAGTCATTCTTGTTTATTTACTATTGTTCTTGTTTAGTTTCTATTGTTCTTGTTTAGTTTCTATTGTTCTTGTTTAGTTACAATTGTTCTTGTTCAGTTTCTATTGTTCTTGTTCAGTTTCTATTGTTCTTGTTCAGTTTCTATCGTTCTTGTTTGGTTACTATTGTTCTTGTTAAGTTTCTATTGTTCTTGTTTAGTTTCTATTGTTCTTGTTTAGTTTCTATTGTTCTTGTTAAGTTTCTCTTGTTCTTGTTAAGTTTCTATTGTTCTTGTTCAGTTTCTATTGTTCTTGTTAAGTTTTTATTGTTCTTGTTTGGTTACTATTGTTCTTGTTAAGTTTCTGTTGTTCTTGTGTAGTTTCTATTGTTCCTGTTAAGTTTCTATTGTTATTGTTCAGTTTCTATTGATATTGTTCAGTTTCTATTGTTCTTGTTCAGTTTCTATCGTTCTTGTTTGGTTACTATTGTTCTTGTTAAGTTTCTATTGTTCTTGTTAAGTTTCTATTGTTCTTGTAAAGTTTCTATTGTTCTTGTTTAGTTTCTATTGTTCTTGTGTAGTTTCTATTGTTCTTGTTAAGTTTCTATTGTTATTGTTCAGTTTCTATTGTTCTTGTTCAGTTTCTATCGTTCTTGTTTGGTTACTATTGTTCTTGTTAAGTTCATATTGTTCTTGTTCAGTTTCTATTGTTCTTGTTTAGTTTCTATTGAGACTTCATGTTTAAACTAGCATACACTGGTGTACTGTAAAGGAATTTTTTTTGTCACAAACTCAAATTTTCCTATTTTTATAACTTTGAATCCTGATGGTGTAAACCTGTGATATTTCAAGGCTTAAGTGATCTAACAGAATTTATAGTAGGAAATATCAAAGATCTACGACAGGGGTTAAAAAATCTGAGTTTGCTGCAAAAAACTCAATTCATTTTCGATTCTATTCTTTTCTTATGAGGATTTAAGTTTTGAATATAATCTAAGATTCATAACGATATTTAGATATTTTTTTAAAAATCTAGATATCATTTAATTTAGTCAAATCAAGTCTTTAATTGAAAGAATTGAGTTTTTGCCACAAACTCAAATGTTTTAATCCCTATACCTGTGCGACCTGATAATGTCAACCTTAAATATTTCAAACTATTTTCTTTAACAGATGTCCCAGTTTGAAATATATAAGGTCTACAACATCTGGTTAAAAAGATATAAGGATCAGAAAAGAAGAGTTTGTGACATTGACTCAATTCTTTTCTCAAACCTGTCTTTATCTATACAGTCAGTAGACCTCAAGTTATTATTGAATCCCTCAAAACACCTAAATAATAATATCACGTAGAACTAGGATTTCTAGCTATATCACGTAGAACTAGGATTTCTAGCTATATCACGTAGAACTAGAGTTTCTAGCTATATCAAGTAGAACTAGGGTTTCTAGCTATATCACGTAGAACAAGGGTTTCTAGCTATATCACGTAGAACTAGGGTGTCTAGCTATATCACGTAGAACTAGAGTTTCTAGCAATATCACATAGAACTAGGGTTTCCAGCTATATCACGTAGAACTAGGGTTTCTACCTATATCACGTAGAACTAGGGTGTCTAGATATATCACGTAGAACTAGGGTTTCTAGCTATATCACGTAGAACTAAGGTTTCTAGATATATCACATAGAACTAGGGTTACTAGCTATATCACGTAGAACTAGGGTTTCTAGCTATATCACGTAGAACTAGGGTTTCTAGCTATATCACGTAGAACTAGGGTTTCTAGCAATATCACATAGAACTAGGGTGAAATGGGGAAATCTTTTCAAGAAAGTCTTGCATTTTTTGCTTTCCGTTTTTGCATTAATCTGTTTTGCGAGAAAAAGCTTGAAAATTAAGTTCTGAACATTTTTGCTTTTTCCGAGACGTTTCACTTTTTTTCGCGAACAAAATTAATACAAAAGAAAATTTTCGCTGGAAACACTTCGTAGAATAAACTACAACGAGGTGTTTCCTGTCTAAATCGGAATATTTAATCTACAATTTTTAATCGGTCGAAAATATAAAATAGCGTAAAAGATTTTTCTACTTTGATAATTACAATTCATGGCCCACCAAAAAGTATAAACATAGTCAATACAAAAAAGTCTTCATTTTCTGGGTTAAAATTAAGGCTTGCTGAATTTTAACCAGGATCCCTGATTTACCGTGAATTTTTTATAAAAAACGATGTAATAGACAGAGATGATGAATTAATCTAAAATTTATACCGAAATTGAACACCTGCCTTAAAATCTTAACTGAATGTTGTACAACTTTGATATTTCAAACTAAGAAATCTGCTATAGATCTTTTAGTCAAAGGTTGAAATATCAAAGGCTTTCACAATAAGATTCATTTATTATTTGGTTTTAAGGCAAGTGTAAAAACTCTTTTTTTCATTTACGACTGTTTCAAGTCCCAATGAAAACTTACAAGAAATGTCGTCCTTGCTCCTGTTCCAAGAATTTACATTCAAATTCATCAGAGCCGTCCTGACAATCATGCCTGAAATAATAAAAAAAAAATGAAAATAAAAATAAAACTAAACTATTTGAATTTAATATTCAACTAAATTTGTCTGTTGTGACAAAAGAGAAGTGATGTTCTAAACTTTGAATTTATATTAAAAAAGATTGATCAATATGCATCTAGTATATTGTGTTCATGGTTTTCCCATCAATCTTAAATTCTTATAAGAAACTGTTTATATCAAACTAAATTTTACCCAACCAAACCAAATATAACTTTAGAACCAAACCAAACCAAATAAATTTTTAAACCCAAACCAAATATGACTTTAGAATTAAGCAAACCAAATTATTCTTTAAACCCCAAACAAATATTACTTAAGAACCAACCAAACCAATTAAAGATTAAAGTGAGATTTAGATTCAGCCTTAGCACCAAACCAAATATAACTTTAGAACCAACCCAAATAAAATTTTTAATCAAACCATACCAAATATAACTTCAGAACCATACCTAATTAAATTAGGATATATGAGGATAACACGCTAAAAGCTCAGCATCTTAGAAATCTGTATATCCAAAATCCGAATTCGACAAATATTATGTGTACTTCCTGGCAATATTTACACGTATTGAAATGCAAATAATCTGAATATTATTGAGAGTTCAAAAGATTCTGATTTTGTGATATTTGAAAGTTTACCAATATAAGCGTTTTCTATATAATGGGACTGTGCAGTGTACATAGATGGGACTGTACAGTGTACATAGATGTCGTTTCAAGTTATTCACAATCTTAAATTATGTTGATTCACAGGGGTGAGCAAAGTTGATGGAGATATTCTTTGCATTTCTATCTTATCATTGAAAATATTTAATTGTGGTTTTCTCTATTTGATCTGTTGACCACGCAGATTTAACATTTCGGTCTGTGACCCAGTAAGCTGTGACTTTCGATCCTCATTCTACCGATTAAACATAACTTTAAAGCTTTTTCTCTCTTATACTTTTATGTAAACAGATACGTTTCAAATGAAAAAGCAAAATGAATGAAGATATCTTTTGTTTTTCTTTCTGACCATCGATAATATTTAATTGTGGTTTTCTCAGCATTTTTATGAATGTCAAGGAAGCAAGGAAATTGAAATAAATTATCTCTTTTACAAAAGAAAAACAATGATATCTTCCACATATACTGAGAAAGAGGAAGGTTGTGAAACGGGCTTATAATTGGAGAATATCAAGTGAAATTTCTGATTCTGCTTAAATAATAATAATAAATAATGAAATAATCTTTTTTGATAAAATCTATATAACATGTCTTTATTCTGTATGACTGAATGGTTAGGCTTAAAGAACATGAAAATACCAATTCTGTAAAAGAAAATGTTTTTCATATATTGTTTTTCTGTCTGTTCATATGTACTGTATATCTGTCGGAAGCTAGCTTAAAAACGCAAAACTTTTGAATAAAAATGGTTCTAATTAATGTTTTAAAAATACACAGCCATAATATTCTACCTTCCATCACATCTTTTTCTCATCGGAATGCAGTTGGCAGCTTCTCTGAAAAATTTATCTTTCTGATTTATATATTTTGTTTCCAGCATTTCAGAGGAAAAACTAGCATATTTTTAAATGTATAGTTTTGTGTAATTTCAGTTTAATATTTGCAGTGTAGTAATATTTATTTTTTATATATTATATTTTAATGGCAGCTGTTTGGATTTTAAAACAACATTCGATGATTTTTTCAATGGCAAAGACTTAAAAATTTTGTGAAGGAATTTTCAGTGACCCTCAATTTAAAGAGGGACATAACCGATTCACAATATGTACCCTTTAACGAGGGAAAGAAGGCCAACCACAACAATTTCTCGTCCGAGCCACCTCGAAATACTTTTCCTTTCAATATTTTCTCTTTTAAGTGTCTAACCCTTCCAGATAAAACTATTTTTTAAGAATCAGGCCACGTTAGGGCATAAATGAAATATCTAACTTTTGTGGATCGAAAAATAAAGTTTCAATTGAATTAATGATTTCAAGTTTAATGTCTTTTAAATGTTCACTTTTGTTACGCGCATTTTCAGATATTCCCGGTGTAATATGCCGCAAATAATTCCAAGTTTACAGAACTTCAATCTTTTTTGTTAACTATAGTGAAAACCATGGGAAAAATTATAGGCAGAGGTATGCCGAATATTTTGCTATTTATTCTATATCACGAAGGTTAGCCATTACGGAGGCAGAATAGATTTAAGTTTTACCTAAATAAAGTTTGACATCATTCTCATGGGTTTGAAGATTCCAACATGATATAATTATTGCAATACTTTAGTCCATCAATATTTTATGCCCTAACGTGTCCAGATTTTTAAAAAAATAGTTTTATCTTCAAGAATTGGAAACTTTTTAGCACAAAATAATCGAAGTACGATGATTCCGAGGTGGCTCGGAGGAGAAAATGAGGAGAATGTGGCTCGGCCGAGAAATTGTTGTGGCTGGCCTATCTACCCTCCTTTAACCCATTTATCTAATAAATGAAGTTTTTTAAATATTATTAATTTTTTCATTGTTTTCTTAGCAAGAAATGCGCAATTCATTTTTGTTCAGAAACCACAAAATTAGTAACATGGATATTCAAACTTGATCCGCCACGCCACTCTATACGATGGAAGGTCACTCAAAATTTGTCTTACAGTCCCTTTAAAATAGATTTAAAATTACATAAAATTGATTATTATATTTTTTACTAACCTATTCCACTCATTTATTGCAAGTATGTCGGCGTTTTCATTTCTAAAAGTATAAAAGTATAAAAGTATAATAAAAGTATAAAAGTATAAAAGTATAAAAGTATGAAAGTATAAAAGTATAAAAGTATAAAAGTATAAAAGTATAAAAGTATAAAAAAAGTATAAAAGTATAAAAGTATGAAAGTATAAAAGTACTAGAAATTCAAGGCGCTTCGCGCCCTTCTTTCTAGCCTTAGAGGGCGCTTCGCGCCCATCTTCTAAATTAGTTGTGAACATGTTCTCTTTGTGTACATCGTAAAACAAAACAAAAATAATTCGCGGATTTTTACAAAAAATTTCGCGGATTTTCAAAATTTTAAAAAATTTGCTGACGATCGAATTTTGATGGAGACAAATATTTGAAATTTTGATTTTTCATAAACCTTCCCTGGGATCCCTAGATGTCCCACAAAAAATTTGGGCCCGATCGGTTCAGCCGTTTTGACGTTTATTGGATACAAACAAACAGACAGACAAGCCAAATTTATATATAGATAAAAGTATAAAAGTATAAAAGTATATTATTCAACAATTTAATGTAAATATTAAAAATTCATTATTTTTTAATTGCAAGATTAGTTTTTAATTTTAATTTGTACGGACTGTAAAACAAAGTAAAAAAGTTAGGACTATTATTTTTATCAATATTGTTATTATTTTTATCAACCTTATTGTTATTTTTATTATTATCGTTGCTATTATCAGTATTAGTGTTATTATTATCTTAAAAAATTGAAATGTACAAACATAAAGTTTATGTTTATAATATTTAAATTAGTTAAAATGCAGTAGAATTACTATATTGAAGGATTAAAGTCTTAGAAAGACCAGGATAAGATTTAAGAAGAGGCTATAGCTGTATTGTACAATACACATACAGGCAATATAAGGCAAAAAGGGACGGTGCGCCGGTGCGCCAAATTAACAATTCCCTTCGTGTTAAACTAAAAACATAACGGTTATTTCCATTCCTCAACGAACTTTTCCGTTATCTAGCCATGTCAATAATTTCATGAACGTTTAAATAACTTCAAAATCGAAAAACGTTCTTTATATATTTCCCTTAAAAAAACTAATGATATTTTTTAATTATTATATTATTTCAGTAATAATTCTTCTGTTTTGGGGAAATCCTGTATTTTATTTTATACCTGCATTTGTATTGGTCCAAATCACACTCAATTGCGTGACCTAGAGAAAAGATAAATATGTATACATAAAAAAAGAATATATTATCTCATTCTGAGAAACATTATTAACCTTGTTCATCTCTTTTCATTAACTTTTTCTCTCAGAGTGGAAAAATATTTCTGTTCGCCCAAGGGAAAGAAAGTGATGAATTGCAAATTTTCACGAGAAAAATTTGCGCATTTACGAGATGAATGTAGCTTTTTTACATAGAGAAAGTTTTAACAAAAAAACATTTTCAGATTTATGCATATTAATATTATCAACAACACAATTAATATACTTAGAAATTAATATTGAAAAGTTCAATTGGTTAATAATGTTGAATACAGAATGGGATAAAACTACATATTTAGTTATGGCGAGAATTTCCTTTGGGAGAACTGCACTTCACCGGAAATTGACTATTCCTCCTGTTTTCTCCACTTTTTTGATGACATTTCATCACAAACGCCTCGAAAACACTTTAAAAAGGTAATTCCCGGTAAAGATGGAAAGGAACTGAGTTTTTTCCACAAACTCTACTTTTCTAATCTCTACATCTTTGCTACCCAATACACCCTGGACTAACCAGAGTGAGAAGCATTCGGTTTCATTTATTTGCAATCAAACGTCATTTAGGTCTATAATTCAACAATCTTTAAACTTACGGCTTTGTTTATTTTATACTTTTTCATTCAAAAACTGTATATGCCGACAAAAAAGTATTTTAAAAAAAGGCTAAAATATTATGTTTAATGGTTCAAATTGTGATCGAAAGCCAAAGCTTTCTGATATATTGTCAGAACTGTTAAATCCACGTGAATGTCGTAGACCTTTGATATTTCAGACTATGAATTCTGTTAGACTTTGAAATATCAAAGGTTTACATCATCAGATTGTAAAGATATAGGGATTAGACAATTTGAGTTTGTGACAAAAACTCAGTTCTTTTCCCTGGTAATTCATCGCTCCTATGTAAATAAGTAGTTTACCAACAAAATACTTTAGATTGTGTAGTTTTGCAAATTTAAAGGATACCGTTATTAATTGGGCATTGCCCCTTTTGTATTGAAAGTCACTTCAAATTTTGTGTATACTCCCTTAAAGACCACAATATTTTCTGTATTTTTGAAAATTTAAATGCATTCAGATAAGTTCTGAATATGGGAAATCCAACCGTGAGATAAATAAGAATCCAGGAAGAACATAAAAACATAATGTATATTTTTATATTTTGTATATTTTGTATAATTTGTATATTTTGTATATTTTGTATGTGTTTGAATATTTATGCAAAACAGTGGATTTAGAAAATAAATGAGCTAAGGCAGCAAGGGAATTCATTTCTTTTTTAATATAAACATTTTTTATCCCTAGTCGGGTATTTGTTTGACTTTTTAACCCATTTTAGCAATTTAAGAAGATTTGTTATTATTTTTTGTTGGTTTTTCTCCTCCCTTTACTTAGTAACGTGAGAAAGTTTAAAGTTGAAGAAATGTTAAAGCCAGAGTTCGATGTGAATAAGTCGACAGAGTATAGGGAAAAAATATATTTACGTTTAATAATAATGATTTGTTAAAGCCGGAGCTCTCAGGTAGACTCTCCGCCTTTCTTCCGCCTCATACGAAAAATCAACCCTCCACTTTTCTATTCTTCGTAAATACTAACTCAATTTCGGCGTTAGCCTGGCAAATCTTATTTCCCGTGCCCTCGTGGTTCAAGCCTATTGGCCTAAATTTAAATAGAGAGTTTCACGGCAGCTTAGATTTTCCACGTGTTGAAAACATTCCACGCATTGAAAGCATGATTTCTGAATAGTATACACGAGGTGGTTTATTATCCGTCCTACTTTCTGTCCAACCTCTAGCTATATACAAAGAGCTAATAAGCTGCCATGTTTGTAGGCCGACTACTTGCAATCTGAGCTTAGCTCCGGTTTTGCATGAGGACTGAATGAATTAGATAGCTCAATAGAACTATCCAATCTGAGCTTTGCTAAAGGTCTGTATAAGAACTGAAGGGGTTACATCAATGGACCTATCCTTATTCCGAGCTGTTGAGCTCACACTATTTACACTTGGTGAAAATTATATTGATAATGAAAACTTTTACCGAAAAATTTGGTCTAAGGAATTGCAATATGTATAATGATTTATTTTTGCCTTTTTAAAACGTATAACAGTCCCTTACATAACGAATTTTGTATTTTGTTTTATATATTCAAATTATTGAACAGTCCCTTTAAGTAATAGTTTTATTGCCTACACGCCTAAAGAAAATTAATTGATCTTTCAACGTTTCCCTTTTCCAGGAAATATATTGACTTCTTTCAACCATTAATTGGATTAAAACTTTACACAGAATTTCTTCACAGAAAATTTTTGAATATTTTAAAACGCATTTTTTTAAAAGTATTTTTAAGTTTTGCAGTCTTGAATTTAAAAAAAAAACTGAAAGGGATTATTGAATAAATTTCAAGTGACCCCCTCCATCAAAGATGTTTGATATCCAAAAACAGTACTCTGTAATCCTTGAAATGCGGAAAAATAATAGAGAAATCCTTGTTTTACATCGTAAATAGATCTTTTTCAGCTTCAGTTTCAGTTTTAGTTTCAGTTTCAGTTTCAGTTTCAGTTTTAGTTTCAGTTTCATTCTCAGTTTAAGTTTCAGTTTCAGTTTCAGTTTCAGTTTCAGTTTCATTCACAGTTTCAGTTTCAGTTTCAGTTTCAGTTTCGATTTCAGTTTCAGTTTTCAAAAGAGATAAAGAATTAAAGGAATTGAGTTTTTGCCGCAAACTCAAATTTACTAATTCCTGTATCTGTGCAACCGAATGGTTTAAACCGTTTGTATTTCAAACTTAGATTATTTAATCTAACATAATTCATGGTTTGAAATATCTAAGGTCTACGACATTGTATTGTAAAGATATCGGAATTAGAAAATCAGAGTTAGTGGCAAAGACTCAATTTCTTTACATTCCTCATTGTTTCTAGGAGAATGGTTTAAATAGTACCATTGTGAATTGGGCCTTCTAAAAGAGGCCAATTTATGTCCTTATAAAAATCCACCTATTCCAAGGTGGAGACTAATAAACCAGGTTGCAGATAATCCTCTCATTGAGCTGATCCCTCATTTACTCTTTTCTCCCGCATTCATTTTTATCTAAATTTAAAGATCAATTTAAAAGCTTAGTTTTCACTTGATTGATTTATTATTTGATATTTGATTCATCCAAGATCAGGTTTATAGTTTTTATTTAAAAAAAGTATAAATAAAATCATGGAATTTCTATTGGATTAATATTCCTGTATAACAATTTCATCATTTGGGAAATTATAAGAATAAATCATAGAAAGTACACAGCGCTGGTTTCCTATACAATTTTGACACAATCAACTCTTAACAAAATTCGTGGATTCGTTGAACAGAACTGAACATAATAGACGCGAATACACCTGTGAATAATATTGCCTATTTGTTACCAATGGTCGACATCTTTTTAAAGGGACTGTAAAGGAAGAATGAAAGGGGGTGTATTTGCTGAAACCTGAGAATCTCAGAAGATGAACGATACCTATAAGATTTCTATCTGATGTTCCTATCTCGAGAAATTGACATAATACTGTGTCAAAATTAAAGATACGTCTGTATCACGTGACCAGAATTCCCTCCAAAGGCAGTGCAGTATACTGGTCACCTGATACAGACAGAAACACGTGACAATAATACTGCACTGCGATTGGTTGGAGTTCTGGTGAAATGTTCCGGACGCATAAATAATATTATCAATAACATCTAATTAAAAATGAAAAATTATTATATTCAAAAAATAATAGGTGCAAATCTTAATTTCTCAGGCTCCTCAGTCCTCTGAGATATCGTTGTTTTCAGATTGGTTGCGTATTTGTTGAATATGATCTGTTTAAAATTACGAATCTTATACAAAATCTTACATATATATGTTTTGGTATAATTTAGACACAGTTTTATATCAATTTTTCGAAACAGGAACATCAGATAGATGTGTTATATGTCTCAATCAACTCCTGAGAAAATCAGGTTTCAGCCTATACCCCCTTTCATTTTTCCTTTACAGTCCCTTATAATAAGAATAAGAATAAGAAAATAAACGAAAACTTGTTGTTTTTACTTTAAGTATCAACAATCTTGAAACTTATGGAGTTGTCATACACTATTTTTTCCTTTAATACGCATTTTCCGACAAAGAAGTGTAAAAGAGAAAATTGGAAAAAAAGTATTTTTTAGATCAAATTGTGATCGAAAGTCACAGAACTGTTTCTAAAAGTTTTAATTATTTTCTCGTCATCGTGAATAAAAGAAATAAATCCAATATCAACATATAAGACTTTCGTCTTGTTTCTTGTTAATTAATATTCATCAGCTGCTGCAGAAAGTGTCTTTTTATATTAGATTACTCCTAACAATTTCCTACAGAAGAATATATAATACATAGTACATACTCGAGAATACATTTATTTTGCTTCTTTGTTTAGCTTTGTATGAAGAGAATGTTTTATTAAGATGAGATTTCTGCAGTTTTTTCTCAGAAAAGGTACTGTAGACGTAATAACAGGATGCCCTCTACTTGTAGTAAGGCATGTCATATTCAAAACGGTACCCGTTCAACCTTAGTCTGTTCAAGGATGACACACACCTCTGCCCCCCTTTAGTAAAAGTAAATTAAACATAAATGAAGCATAAAGTCTGGCCGCATCAACCATGTTACACCGGCTAGTCTTATTGATTGTCTGCTGTATTAAAAGTAAAGTAAAGTAAAGTGCGGTACAGTACAACCTGGGACCGGAAAGGTTGACCCGGCTCGGAAATTCAAATTAACTACGGCTGCCCTTGATGACAAAGTTGTTTTTATTTTTTTCTATGCTGAAAATTGAGTGCTTTTGTATTTTCCTGGAGTTACACACAATAGAATTTCGATTAAATTTCTAAAAACCGCTTTTAACATAAAATATTTGAAATTCTCAGAATTAGAGTGAGTGTATAACTGTACTCTTGAGTTCTCGTCACTTACTTCTTACCGAGAAATAAGGATTTCTCCGTCTTCAATGATCAGACAAAAGAACCAATGTTCAAAAGTAACAAAGTTCAAAAATAAAGCACAAAACAATTAACAAATCAAAAGCAAAGTTTTTCTTGAGTGAAAAACTAAAGTTCTACATTTTTGTTGAAAGTATTTAATACGAATGCCGCAGTATTAAAGTAGAAAGGATGTGTTCTAATGCTACTTCTCTCACTCAACTTCAAGAATATATATATATATATATATGTATATAGAAGAGGTTGTATTTAAGGGACTGTTGGTTTCAAAAGCTAGAAACCTGCAAAAAAAAATTCTTAAATATATCGAAAAAAAATCAATGAAAGGGGTTTTATAACGCTTATTCCTCTAGAGCTGATTTGTCTCATCAAACTTTAACTTTTTAATCTTAACTTGAGTTGTGAACTTTTGTGCTGGATACTCATAATCCCGATCCCTTGATTTCGATATCCACGGTGAGCACTTTTAGATAGAGGATTATTGCTTAAACTCTTAACTTTAACAGAGAAACCACAATTGAAAATCGGTTTTTTAAAATTTTAAGGATTTATTTATAATTTTTTCTTTTTCAGACACACACAGATTTTAAGGGTAACGTTTCGTTATTTATTGGGCACTGTCTGGAGGGTCTATACATTTACACCTACAGTCCCTTTAGGGGCTGCGGAGAATTATAAAGTTAATTGTTACAATGTTTATAATTATGTTACAGTAATGTCACAGACACAAGATACAACGTTTTGCAGAACATAAAAATAGCCTTTTACCGTTTAAATAAAATAAACTCTAGTAGACGTAACTCATGACAATTACAACCATTGAAATTAGTTAATACAACGCGCTAATTCGTAACAGAGACAAAATCGTCTTCGTCATTTCATTCCCAATTTATTGGGACACCCTGTATATATAATAGTTGTCTATAGAGTATTTATGTTTCAGACCATTCATACCGTTCACAATTACAAAATATTAATATTTCCATGAATCCCAGCAAAGTATGGAAGCGGGATAGAATAGAAATGATTGATTTGGCATATTATTACATTTTCCCTTTTCTTCATACATGTATGTACAATATGGGCATATGAAAATACTCAATTATCAATATATTCCTTAAAATCTATTAGAAATCTAATATTCCTTAAAATCTATTAGAAATCTAATATTCCTTAAAATCTATTAGAAATCTAATATTCCTTAAAATCTATTAGAAATCTTATATTCCTTAAAATCTATTAGAAATCTAATATTCCGAAGGAATTGATTCTTTGTCACAAACTCTAATTTTCTAATCCGTATATCCGAGCAACCCAATTTTGTAGAACTTAGATATTTCAAACTATAACTTCCGTTATGTGAAATAATCTAAGTTTGAAATGTCAAAGGTTTACACCATCAGGTTGCAAAGATATTGGCATTATAATATTTGATTTTGAGGCAAACACTCAATTCCTTCATTCTGAATTGATAGAAAAGCTACTTTCGTAGTCGACCCTATAGAAATAATTTTCATCATCGGCCTGGCCTGTAGACGGGTGAATACTATATATACATCCTAGCTTTAATTTGAATTAAGAAACTAGTTTAGGATCAAAAGACTTAAGCAGAGAAACTTCTTCTCAAACAGTTGTTAAAACATTCAGTTAAAAATTACCTAAAATGATCATCCTAGGCTGATGCAGTGTTGACAAAGAAATAGGATTATTCAATGTTCTTTAACATTGCCAACAAAATGAAGAGAAAATTAAAATAATAGTAAAAAAGAAATTAGAGTTTTTTCAAAAAAATATATGTATGTTTGTATGCCAACGTAAGAGCTACACATCTACACATCTAGAGTCAATCATTTCTCCCAAGTAGATTTGTCCAAAACTATTCCTTTAAATCTATTCTTCCAAATCTATTCTTCCGAATCTATTCTTCCAAATATTCCATTCCAAAAATATTCATCCAAATCTATTCTTCCAAATCTATTCTTCCAAGTCTATTCTTCCAAATCTATTCTTCCAAATCTATTCTTACAAATATATTCTTCCAAATATATTTTTCCAAATCTGTTCTTCCAAATATTTCCTTCCAAAAATGTTCTTCCAAATCTATTCTTACAAATCTATTCTTACAAATCTGTTCTTCCAACTCTATTCTTCCAAATCTATTCTTCCAAATCTGTTCTTCCAAATCTATTCTTCTAAATCTATTCTTCCGAATCTATTCTTCCAAATCTGTTCTTCCAAGTCTATTCTTCCAAATCTATTCTTCCAAATCTGTTCTTCCAAATCTATTCTTCCAAATCTGTTCTTCCAAATCTGTTCTTCCAAATCTATTCTTCCAAATCTGTTCTTCCAAGTCTATTCTTACAAATCTGTTCTTCCAAATCTGTTCTTCCAAATCTGTTCTTCCAAATCTGTTCTTCCAATTCTGTTCTTCCAAATCTGTTCTTCTAAATCTGTTCTTCCAAATCTGTTCTTCCAAATCTGTTCTTCCAGATCTATTTCTTGAACTATTTCTCCAAATCCATTGCTCCTTATCTTCCCTCTACTTCTAGAGAAGAAGAGCATTAAATCCATTTAATCACATTCCTTCAGGACAAACAAAATCCAGACTCTATTTTCCAACCTTCTGTTCCTTATCTTTTAACTGAGGTCCAAACTTTTGCATCTTAAATCCGGACCTTCCAGACTGAGCTGGTTCCTTGAGATGGTTTAATCTTAGACGAAGAGATGAACGTATTTTTATGCAGAAGGCCAAAGGAAGTTACGTGCGCATACCGCGTTGATTTACAGAGAGAGAGAGCCTGTTCTAGCCGCGGTGCTCGGCCCCCTAGCCTGTCCTCGCCGCAGCGCTCGGCCCAGAAAGTGACTTAACCCAGCCTAACCCTAAAATCTATACTAATCTTTCTCTTCTCGTAATTTAACGCGGCAAGTGCCTGAAACCTCCTTGGGCAACTGCCTTTTTTTAAGGACATAAAGTGTAACTAGAAAACAATGGAACAGAAAGACGACAGTATATAGCAATACTTAGTGCATTTGATGTTGTTACAAAGCAAATAGTTTTACTGGACATTAATTAAATCACTAATTTA